CTGGTGCTATCACAACAGCTCTGTACTCCTTCTTCATAATCTGTCCCAGCTTTCACTCCTGTGTGTTAGGAGCAGCATACTTGTTCCAGTCTCCAGCTGCCTTTCATTTCCTACTTGATGTGATGGAGCTTTTTGATCTTGTAGGAGGTGATTCTTGAATATCAACCAAATATCACAGAATCCCACTTCCTCTTCCCCTCCCTCCAAATTGGGAGTTGAAGAAAACGTCTCCAAAACAACAGCAACAGCTAAGCCCAAAACAACGACAAAAACAACAATAGCAACAGAAAAAACAACTCAGAAGAAAAATAAACCCCTCCAGATCCTCAAAACTTGAGCAAAACCCAGTTGCCTGCATCAGTGTGGTGACACTCAGCTGTGCCTGGAGAGATGCATACAGGTAATATCTGTCACTCACAAAAGCTTTTTTGAGTTGAAATTTGCAATGTTTATATATGAATTTTGCATGATGATCAGCATCACCTGTGCTCTTGCCTGTGTTATTTCAATAAATTGAAGCAAACCAGTTTGATAAGCTTTTATTGATGCCACAGCTCTTTCAACACTGTGCCTGAGGCACAAGCCTTTCTGATCCTCGAGCTCAGGGGTTCATCTGTGCCCCAAAATTGGTCTTAATCCTCATGGTAAGAGGATTTGCAAACCCTGAAATCTCCTGCACAGCTGTAACTGTGGGCTATTTCACCCCAGATATTGGCAGCAAGTGTCTTGTGGGATGAGCATTTTAGGATGTGTGTTTATCAGATGGAGGCATCCCTTTTCTCTCCATCTTCTGCTGTCACAGAGCAGAGCAGGAAAGGCTTTTTTTTGCACACCCACTTGTGTTCAGCATCACATCTATTAACTTCAAATTCCTTGGCTCTCAGTGTCCCACACCCTTCATCCATCTCGTGCAGAGAGGTGCCAAGCCTGTAAAACAAAAGTTGTTTTGCTGAAGAGGAGGAAACTCTCCAAATCTTGCAGATAGCACAGGTGTGGCGGGGTTGTTCTGCCCTTTTCCTGCACCCTTTCGCCATGCACACATCATTTCTTGCTGGAGGGTGACCAAATTTGAGGAGAGTTGCTGTACCTGCAGTAAGATCTGCATGTGTGGAGCATGCTCCACACATGCTCTTACTGCTGTACCTGCAGTAGGAGCATGTGTGGAGCATGAAAAGCCATGTTATTGCATGGGTCTGGTGGGAGCTGAGGGGTTACTGTGCTCTGGTGCACTTCCCCAACCTTTGTTCTATGGAACTTTGCAGTGGGGGGAATATGAGACTCTTGCTTAAACTCCAACATCTTGGAGAGATAGGTCAGGGCATGAACTGGGTCTGAAATGGAACAAAGCTGCTGTTTACACCAACTGACTGTGAATACACTCACATTTTGGGGTTGAAAGGTGTGTTGTCTACCCATCTCCACACCTTCTGATGTGACCTTAATCCAATCCACACTGGTGGTGGGCTCTTGCCTGTAACAGTCTTGATGTGCTCCTGGAAAATCAGAAGTGATCAGTTGCTCCCAAAATCTCTCTCTGGAAGGTTTCATGGTAATCAAATTCACAGAGTAAACCTGGCTCCCAAATTCATGAGACATTAATTTCCCCCATACTTTGAATTCTTCCCCAAACCCTCCTGTTGATAGGAATTTTTTTCTTCCCTTCCCACCTAAAAATCAGGACTTCTTTGTCCTTTTTAAGCCGCCTTCTCCCTATTTACCTTTTCTTTCTTGTCCTGGAGCACCACCAGCTGGGAGTCCTGGTTCTCACAGCTTTTCATGCCTTGAGTCCAGTTTCCCAATTCCTCAGAAAGCCAGTAGCATCTTTCCCCATGGAGCTGCCAGTCCTGGGGACATAGCTTGCAGCCAGCATAGGCTGACGAGGAGAAAAAGCCATGAGACACTCTGAAGGGTTGTGAGGTTATTCCCCAGCCACCAGCTGAAGGTACTGAGGGATTCCCCATCCCACACCCCAGCTCATTCCCCATTGCTGAGTTTTTTACATCAATGTGGTTTTATCAGCCACTGGAGAGAAGGAAGGTTACTGAGGCTGGATGACCAAAAGGACATTATTGGCCGGTGGAGGTGGAGGAAGAGGGGCAAGGAACTTGCTCCCTAGCGCTGATGCTGCTCCTCCATGGAGGAGGGATCAGCAAAAATTGGATTCCTCCTTGCAAGACTCCTCTTTGCCAAATAACTGTTGTGATTGCACAATTCTAAGGGTCTAAGGGTCTCTCTCCTTCTAGTAGAAGACCCCCCGCAAAGGTCTCACCTAAACATCTCCCAACAGAGTCAGATAGGAAGGGGGATTACCTGTGGGGCTGTCCCCTCGGGGCTTGCAGAAATACCGCACCAGGGATGAAAACATGCACTGCTCCATCTGGTTCCTTCCCTGGATCCCACTGTCCAGCTGCAGTACGCTTGTCACCACTGGTTGTGGGGAGCCCTGAAAGACTTGGAGCAGTAATCTGGGGTGAGAAGCTGCAGCCATTTGGGGATAAAAACCACAAACCCCACAAAACTGGGTTTAATTTTCTTATACAGTTGCTTAAGCCAGCCTGAAAAACATGGCATGTATTCTTCACCCTTGTTTGATAGCTATGGGTATAATCCATGTTTACTCAGAATGGGCTTATTCTTGATGGGTGATGTTTTATCTCTACAGGACCACCTTTCCCCCTCCAAAGACTGAAATGCTGAAATAAACCCCAGTTTCCCCTCCCTGGCTGCTCACTGGAGTGTGAGATGCAGATAAGAGCTGGTTACTCACCCCGCACACTCAGCACCACCACCAGGACCAGCAGGATGAGTTGCCCCAGCCCCCCTGCTATGAGAAGGAGCCTGTGCCACCATGGACAGAAGGCAGGTGCTGAAAGAGGACACATTTGCTTTAAAAATGAAAGATGAAAAAACTGAGGGTTTGGAGGAAAAAAAAAAGCCCCTCTGTCAAGCTGGTGAGTTTGAGCAGAAGTTGAGCAGAAGTTTGCAGCTTCTTTGCTTCCTCCAAAGAAGTAAATCACCACTAATGTGGTCTAGGGTGAGGGTGGTTTCTCAGGTGGAGGAGGGGCTGCAGAAACCTCAGGAGCATCCTTGGGCACCCAATTATGGATCTTGGGGGATGGGAAACCATCTGAAATTGGCTTAATTTAGAGCTCCTGGTACAGCTGGGAGTTGGTGAGACAAAGGTCATTCCACTCTAATCTCCACCAGGATTCCAGACAGGATATCAGCAGCTTTCCTTCACATCCAGGTGTGTTGGCTCATGTTGGGTGTCTTGGCACCCATTTTGCCTCCAGGTGAAAGTCTCGGAAGCAAAATGGCTTCCAGATATCTGTCACCCTCTCCCATCCCTTCCTTTCTCTTATTCCTGCTATTTTCAAGCCAGGATCCTACCTTAGAAGACATTTAACCCACAACAATGTTCTCCATGATCTTGGAAATCTCAACATGGAGATGAAGAAGCAAGCAAACCTAAAAGTAAACAACCCAAAAATCTTGAAACAAGCATTTTCTCCCCCAAATAGGACTTACCACGATGCTTCTCAGCAGAAGAACCATCCCCAAGATGCCTTAAATCTGCATAAACTATTTCCCCAGCCATGGTTGCTGAGAAGGTCCCAGGAACAGCCCAAAAGTGACACCGTCCTTGGACAACCCCTTGCCTTGTGAACTACTCACATCTGCATCTGGCTCCAGGAAATGGTATTGGCTGGGGCTTTAATCTGCTTTTTAGTTTGTACATATGTACATACATACACATGTATGTATGTATTCTACACCCTACCCTTGTAAATGGAAGGTGGTGAGGGAATGGGTGTCCTGCATCCAGGAAGAGGTGGCACACCTGGAGGTGTAGAAACATCTGTGAGTTTGGTGGTTGTGCTAAACATCTGTGAAAGCAGAATTAATAAATAATAATTTCAAAAAGCCTTTAAATAAGGTTTTTGACTGTGAGGTTGAAACATGTTGGGAGGTGGATCAGTGTGACCACAGGCAGGTGGGGAGGAGACAGATGACATTTGGTGTTTCTTCCCCAAAATATGGGCTGGGAATGACTTGAAATGCCTTTTGCTCCATGTGACTTATTCTGCTGGTTTTGACACAATATTTGGTCTCTGTTTTTTCCTGGGGCAAAGAGATCCAATGTGGTCAAGGGTTGTCCACCACCTGCCAAGGAAGAGGTAAGAATCTGCATTTCCTGCTGGCTGCTAATGAAATTTATTTTATTACTTTATTTTATTTTGACTTTTTCACCTGCAAACCCATCCTCCCACTCCCGATGTACATCTAGACCTATGTTTCCTCCAGGTTTGAGACTCTTTGACTACTGCATGGAACAACCACCAATTTCCAGCTTACAGTAATCTTTTTCCCTCCCTTTTCTTAGGGTTTTTTGGTGTTAATCCCAGGTTTTAGTCAGTGCTACAATATGCCAATGCAACACCTTTTTACAGAGGCAAAAACTGTTTTTTTTCCTCAGACACAAAAAAACCCCCAAGTAAAATGCAGAAATTTGCCCCAATACCTATCAGCAGCCAGAAATAGGGTAAATAAGAGGATAAATCCAAAGGCCCCAGTAGGAAAAGCACTGTGTTATTTTATTTTGAAGTTATTTTAAAATTTTTAGTTAAAGTAAAAAATACTTTTATTTCAAATTTGTGCTTATGTACTTTTAATTTTTATATTTTTATTGTCTCATGTTTATTTTTAGTTTCTTTCCCCCCCACAGCCTTTTCTTTGTCACAGAAAGTTTCTGTGGTGAGCTGCTATCAGCCAGCCTTCCTGCCCTCTGCAAAGGCAGCTGCTGCAGTGGCGTGTGACCAGTGATTACAAAAAACCCCTAAAAAATACAAAAGAAATTACGTCTTAGGGTAAAACGTGCAGCTGGGTAGCTTAATTGCAAGAACACTTACTTTTTTATATTTTTATAGTAAAAACCCTTATAAAATGGGCTGAAGGGAACTGTACTTCTCCCTTGTAGAATCCCTGAAGGCTGTTCTGGGGTGCCCTGACGTCATGGAACAGAGTGATCTCCAGCAGTGTTTCCTCCAACTGCACACTAAAAAAAGCATTTTTAGACAATCCATCTCCCTAGCTGAGAAAAAATTCCGGAAATGCTGGAAAAGAAGGTGAAGTGTAGAGATGGAGGGGAGCCCCTGGTTCTGTGGGTGGGCAGGTGGCCCTGGGCAGGCAGCCCCTTCCTCATTGCCCTTGAGTAGGCACAGGAAAATCCCTAAGTATACAATAAAATAAACCAAAACAACATTATTTTAAAAATACTTTGTTTTTCTTCACAAGAGCAGGTTGTGCCTCAGCATTGGGCTTGTTCTCACAGAGCAGACACAGGTGACAGGGTTTGGGATGGGCCTGGGGGCTGAGGGGGGTGGTCTTCAATTTTGACTGGAAAAGAGAATTTCAATTGCAGGGAGAAGTTTTTAATTGCAGGAGAAAATTTTAATTGAGGAGATTTTAATAGGGGAAGATTATTTTAAATGGGGGGAGAAAGCTTTAATTTAGGGGAGAAAACCCTTAATTTTGGAGAGAAAATATTAACTGAAAAGAAAATATTAATTGAGGGGAGAAGGTGTTAATTGGGGGAAAAACTTTAATGGGGAGAAAAGTTTACAGGGAGGAAAATTTAATTACAGCAGAAAATTTTAACTGCAGGGAGAATATGTTACCTGAGGAGACTTTAATTTTTAAGATTTTAATTAGCAGAGAAAACTAATTTGGGATGAAAATGTGATTGTGGGGAGAAAACTTGACTTACAGGCAGAAAATCTCAACTGAGGGGAGAAGAGTATAATAAGGCAGATAAAACTAACTGGGGGGAGAGGAAATTTTAATTGCAGGGACCGGATTTTAATTGTGTGGGAAAACATCAGGTGGGGAGAAAAGTTTAAATACGGTGCTGGGAGAAAATTCTAAATTGTGAGAAAATTTTAATTGAGCATTAGAGAGCCTTTGTGACACCTCTGATAGATGAAACTTTGCTTGACAGGTGAAGCAAGAGCACATATAGAGGTGGAACCCCAAAAATGGAGGAAATGAGAGTTTATTCTGGATTTTTGGGCATGGAAAGGAACAAGCGGGCAGGTAACTGTAAGGCAATGGACTGTAGAATCATTGGGTTTGGGTTTTATTCTGAGACTTCTGTAATTTGAAAACTAAACCCAGCCGCAGTAAGGTTGTAGGGGGAAAAAAGCTTTTTCTGGCACTTCCCTTGAGGGAAATTTTTTGTCACTCAGCAGGTAGAATTTTTGCTCTAAACAGACGAATTTCAGACATGATGCTGAATTATAAATTATTCTAATTTAGCATTAGCCTTTCCTGAGGCTCTTGAGGAACTGATTATTTTAGACATATTTTTGCCCCGACAAATATTCAATTTTTTTGTTGATTTTTCATTTGTTGATTTATTTTTTTAATATAACACTTAAAAAAAAATTATTTTTATATTTGGCATATTTGGCTTTTGACTTACTTTATAATATTTTTTCCAGGAAGAAGAGGGGAGAGGAGGGTTTTTCACATTTGGTTCATATGATGGGAATAAAGAAGGAAAATCTTAAACAAAAAATGGGGGAAGTCCTACTGAATGAAAACACGAATATTTTTGTATAAAAGCCCTGGAAAGAGAATTTTCTTTGGACATGGTGAAGGGAAATTGTATATTCTGGATCACAAGATACAGAAATGGAGGCACCAGGACCCAAGGTGTCTTAGTTTAGGTGCAGAAAAAAACTCCATTGAACTTTAAGAATGAGGTAAATCCTAGAAATTAAAGCAAATTTTTAATTATGGTACATTTAATGAGTTTGTGTCTGGAGCTGGGAAGGAAACTGTTCCCCAAAGAGCTCCCATAAATACAAAACAGCTAATTTTGTTCCACGTGAAGAAGAATATTCGGTATTTCTCACCCAAAGTGATACCTAGTCCACTGGCATTGGCACGAGACCAACCCTTGATGATCTTGGCATGGCCTGTAGCGTGTTGCTGCCCTGGGAGCCCTCTCAGAGGCACTGAAGGTCTGTTCTCCTGCAGGTCACAGCATGGAGATGAAGCCTGAGGCACGTGTCACCTGCCAGGTGATGCTGGCAGTGCTTTTCACAGCTCTGTTCATCACAGCCATCGCTTTTGCAGGTGAATGTCGAAGTTTTAGTCTCACAGGTAACGTCTCTGAGATATTTTGGGTTGTTGTGTTTGTGACAGATTTATTTCCATGTTCCTTTGGAAGACAAAGCCCACCCAAGCTGCTGTTCTTTCTGGGAGAAGAACATTTCAGAGCAGTCTTTGTACAGAACAAATCCATCCCCATGGTGTGGGAGCTGATGTCATTGAGAAACCCTTAGAAAATCAACAGGAAGAGTAATTTCAGGAGTACAGTCACACAGAAATACTGTTTTCAGAGAAGAAGAGGCCTGGAGATGTTGGCATGAGTCCCACCTAGTCAAGAAGTCTGCAGGAATAAGAGGACTTTTTCCTTGTAATTTTCACTACTTTTGCATTAATGACAGAGAGCAACACCCAAGGGCATGTTTAGGGCTACTCTGAAACTCCTCTTTAAAATGTGGGGGTTTTTAAGTCTACCACCCTGTTTCCATCTTTGAAGGTGCAGCACCTGTATTTCTTGTCTAACATCACCAGCTGGGCCATGATTTGAGCTTATTTTCTTACAGGATCTCTCCTAGTATCTTAATTTTTCTCTTTGCCTACAGTTGAAGCAGGTGCGAGACTTTTGGAAGCCCTGGGGTGGAGGATGATCTTCCCACCCCAGAGAGGCAAGGGGAAAGTGCTGCTCATTAATGTTGTTCTATTTTTAATGACAGTGCAAGCTTTTCAGCCTCATGCCCAGCCCTGCTTTCAGTGCCCCTTTGACTGGATCAGGTACAGAGGAAAATGCTACTATTTTTCTGAGGTTGAGGGGAACTGGACATCCAGCCAGGACAACTGCTCAGCACTTGGTGCTTCCTTGGCCATACTGGACAGCGTGGAGGACTTGGTAAGGAGACATGAGGACCTGCTCGGCATGGGGGAAAAACCCAAAAGAACTGCATTTGAAACCTTTTGGTTTCTCTGACTGATCTTCCAGGATCTTTTTTGAAGATCTGGGGTGAGAAGTTGGGGATAAAGCCTTGAGGATATGTCATCACAGGTGTCTTCAAATTCCTCACCAAAGCAAAGCGCTGCAAAGACTGTAGGAACAAACCCCTGTTTCTAGATGACACTTTTTGGTAGCAGATTGAAATGTTCAAGCCCCAAAGAAGCCCTAAATCAGCATAAGCAACTGGTAAAATTGACAGTTTTGGTTGGAAGAAGGTAAAAATCTTTCCTTTTCCCCTCTTTCAGAGTTTTGTGATGAGATACAAAGGCATCTCAGAGCATTGGATTGGCCTTTTCCGGGAGCATGAGCAGCAGCCATGGCAATGGGTGAACCACTCAGCTCTATCTCACCTGTGAGTCCATGTTTTTCATTATTATGTTGTTGGTTGGTGTTTCCTCAGCCACAAAATGTGCTTTTCTTCTTATATTTGAGGTACATCCAGAGGTAGCAATGGGACAATGTTTGGGAAGGGCAACATTGCATCTCAAACTGGTATTTGTTTTCCCCTTTGATGGGAGTGGTGCATTTGGTGAGAAAATCCTAAGTTTTCAGTTTTTATTTTAAGTTTGTTTCTCTCTTGCAAAGCTTTGGGTTTCATATTAGAAATAGATCAGCATCAGTGTTGGCATATTGATACTGAATTACTTCTATTCCTGTAAAAGGAATATGTATAGATATTTTGGCATGTTGGTGCCCATGAGAATGCCTGAGAACTGAAGCTGAGAGGAGTGTATGTGTGGCTTTTCTCCTTTTTCCTGCCACTCCATCTGAAATGGGTTATGTCCTCTGTACTTCCAGGTTTTGGATCCGTGGTGGTGGGCTCTGTGCATACCTGGATGACAGTGGGCTCAGCTCCTCCCACTGCAGCACTGAGAGGAGCTGGATTTGTAATAAACATGAGCTGCAGAGCTCAGGCAGAGGCAACAGGATGAGACGGCCTCCAAACCTCTGTGTCAGCTCCTTGAGTGCTGCAGGGAGGCCTTCTCACTCCCAGATATCTGGTGCACCATAGAGACATGAAAGAAAATCTCAAAAAGATTTTAAAATCCCTGGGTAAGGGGTTATTGGGGTTTCCAGGGGCCAACAAGATGTTTCTGGGACAAGGCAGCCTTTAGGGATCCACATGAGATAGTTCTTGAGAATCCAGGGGGGTGGGGGGTGGAGGGGCAGGGCAGCTCTGGGGCTCTTTTTGGGGTTGGGGCAACTTGGTGATGGCCCAAATGCAGATGCCTTCTACTTAAATAAAATAAAAGAAATTTATTCTATCCTGAACATATTTACATGATAAGTACTTGGAAATGCATCTCAAGCATGGGGAACAGCAGAGGAAAAGAGTGGGGGCAGTGGATGTAAGCACATCCTTGTGATAACTAAATCAGTTTTAATATGAGGAATAGCTGCTGGTATTAATACAAAGTCTGGAAAAATCAAGATTTTTAATTTGTGCTGGAAGTCCAGCCAGTCATAAGCACTGAGGTCAGCAAAAGGAACCTCCAGAGGAAGCTGTATTTGGGAGAAAAAAAAAGTTTTTAGCTCAAAACAAGCTCAGGGAAGTCAAGCTCCTAACAAGCTTTGCATAATTTAACAACTTGAGATGAGCCATGCTGAGCATAGACCCAAAATCCCCTGGGCATAACCCAAAACAGAGACATCTAAGATGAAGGAAGGACCATGAACTGAGTTAGAAATTACTCCAAGACTTGGAAAATAAGAGTTGAGGAGCATCAACCAGCATTTCCAACCACTGTGATGCAACCAGCTTTCAGGAGGATCCTTTCAGGGCATCAGCCCTTGGGGGACAGTTTAATGGTTGAGAGGAGCACGCAAAAATAGGGGAAGACCCTCTCCCCACTGAAGGAGGCCACAGGAAAAGTGAAGATGCGTTGGCGCCTGCTGACAGCGTAGAAAGAGACCTGTCCCACCTCGTAGTCCAGGTAGACCCCAATCTCCCCATTGAGGATTGGGACAGAGGTGTTGGATGGAGCTGTGAGGGCAACGCAGAGGTCATCATACTTCTGCAAGCCCCAAATTTCAGTGTTGGGCTTGAAGAGGACCCGGCCTTTCCTCTGAACTGACTCACGGGCCACCCCCACAGCCCAGAAGCGCCCATTGGCCTCCACCTCCCAGTAGTGACGGCCCGAGGTGAAGCCCTCGCTGCCCAGCATGCACGGGTCTGTGTCGAACCGGCCTGGGCCCGCAGGCCACTGGCAGCGAGGTCTACCCCAGGTGGCTTCTTTGAGGTCCTCGGAGAGGATCACCTCTGGACCCACTGTGGCTGGATCCAGGGTTACATCCACTGAAAAGCAAAACAGAGAATGGATCAGAAGCCAAATTTAAGCCTAGAGAATACACACCCCCAAAATGCCTTCACTGGTGACTTTTCAAAGGCAAAGAGAGAGGAAAGGTGAGTTGGAGATGTAAGTGTGAAGAGGTGGAAGTTGGAGATGGAGATATATATCCAGTTGAGGCTGGAGATGGAAGAACGAAGAGATGGAAGTGGAAGACAGAGGCCCTAGGGAGACAGAAGGTGGAGCTGGAGAATCTCCAACCCCATTGAACATCTCAGCCCAGAAAACACAAGAAACGGGTACTTTGCTCCTTTCTAGCCACCTCTGATTACCTTCAAACTGTTTGGCGGTGTGGTAGTCCAGGGCAAGGTCCCACGTGCATGGCCGTGGTTTGAGGAAGAAAGCCATTGCACCCTCAGAGTCCTCTCTTCCTGACTGGAGGCACAGAACAAGGAAAGAAAGGATAAAATCCAATTATTATCCTCCAAACAGTCATATCTCAGCTTCTGCCCCTTTCTGTGTAAAAAATATGTTTAACCATCACATTTAATCAAAGTACTTCAAGCAAATAGCATTCTTCAACATTGCTTGGTTCATTCAGGAGGTGGGTTAAATCAATTAATTCCCTAATTACTATGAAGGGAACATGAGTAGCACATTGGCTGAACCCATCTCCATTGTAGATATACCCCCAAACCTCCATTCCTCGTGCTGGCTGAAGGCTGAATCTATCCATCTTAAATCCATCTCTGCCTCCACCATTCTTCAATAAAATCTGACAAAGTTTATTTGAGTGAGGAAAGTCCCTAAAACTGAGATAAGCCACATTCACCTCTGACATCCAGAGAAATCTTGTGAGGGGGGAAGAAGTTTGCTATTGACCTTGGAGAAAATGTGTATGGGAGAGATAAGAGTTGGCACCAAATGGCTTCAAATTCAGCCTCTGGAAGTCAGTGTGGGGTTTTGCATGCAAACAAGGGATTGCCCATGGGCATGAGTAATAAAGCCCCAAAATTACTGAATAAACCATGCTGTGACAGTTGAAAGCAAACAGGTTGCTTCTTTTCCATGTGTTTTCCTCAGCAAACCTGCATATACGGGGATTAAAGCAGCAGGGTGATGAGTAAAAGTGAGAAAAAGGTGAGAAAATCACCCAAATAGAGATAAAATCAAGAGCCATGCTGTTTCTCACCCAAATTCCCTGTCTAGATTGTTACAGGTAGAACAGAAGTAAATAATCATCATGACCCTCCATAGCAAAATACCTTTGAATCCAAAACAGAGATCCTGAGACCAAAGCAAGGGTAAATCACTTCCCTTCTTGAGTTCATGGGATGGGGCTCAAAATCCCCTTCCCCCCACCCCCCTCCCAAGACATCAGGGTGATGTAACCCCCATATCAGCACTGGGATTTTCCCCCTTACTCAGACCTTCTTGGTGTTTTCCTTGCTGTCGCTGGTACTGTTTTGGGGTTCCTCCAGATGGTTTTCTTCCACTGGCTGCTTCTCCACTGCGTTTTTTTCCTCTTGGGATTTTTTTCTTCCTCTCTGGCACAGGCTCAGCCAAAGCTCAGTCTTGTCTCAGCCTCTGCCAGCTTTTATCAGACAAGAAGGGAGGAGCCCTCCAATCTCTCGCCTGCAGATGGGACCATGACGTGCTTGGATACCTGCACTATCTGATTGCCCTTTTTTCCCCCATTTCAGGGCCATTTGTTTTCTCAGCACAGGCACTGGGGAGGGAAGGGAGGAAAATTAAAGCACTGCAAAAAGAAACCCTGTTATTGCATAGCACCACAAGGTAGAAAGCAGTTAAATTTTGCCCCCCTAGCTCCCCAAATCTGACTCCAGCTCCTTACACATGATGGAGGTGAACAACACAAAGCTGGGAGCAGCTTCCAGGTGAGGAATGTGACAGCAGTGCCTGGAAATAAGACAACCTTGTGGATATAAAATTTGTTTAAAGACTACTTGTGGGTGATGGCATTTTCTTTTCCAACTGGGGCAGCCTGTGCCGGGAACTGAGCACAGGAACACCCAGGGGTGGTTGAAAGCCAGGCAGCTTCACCCTGTGCCACAGCCAACCTGTAGCACTCTCTTCTCCTTGCAAGGAGGGCAGCAGGGCCACAGCAACCACAAAAAACCTCTGTGCTGACACTGGCCAGGGCTTCTTCTCTTGGTGTTCAAGAGACAAAATCCCCTCAGGAGGCAATGGGTGAGCTGCCATAGGCTGTGGTCATAAAGACTTCTGGAGGACTGGATAAGACCTGTGAGGTGAGATCATCTTCCTACGACCTATCAGGTCTTCCCCCTCTCCCTCCCTGTGAGAAAAAGGTGCAAAGTAAAAATATTTTAATTTCTTATGGGAAAGCAGAGCTCCAGTGCCTGCTTCTAGTAGTGGGAAAAACATAAAGTGAGTTGATCCCTGCTTTCCAGGGAAGGCAGTGAGAGGGCTTTTTTAGGGGAATTATTTGCTTTCCTTCCCCCAATAATGTAAAGCTGATTGCCTCACTTGTGCGTTGTTTTGTTGTTGTTGGGCTTTTTGTGTGTGTGTGTATTTAGAAGAAAATCCAGTCTCACCTGCAATCCCTAAGGGAGGTGTTGGCAGAGTTTCTGGACTGGAGACTGAGTGAAGAGAAGAGACACCACAACTACGTGGCACAGGGTGTCCCCTCTGTTCTTCAGCAGTCTGAATGAATCTTTGGGTATTAATTGTTCCCCAAGCCCCTCTTGAAGAAACACGTGGGATCGTATCCAAGAGGCATCCTGGCACCCTGCCAAGCCCTGCATCCAGATGGAGTGGTTGGTGCAGATCCTGGGCAGGTTTGGCAAGCACCACCTCCATGTGCAATTGCTTATTATCCACACTTTTAAATCAATGTCATGGTGCAGCTCATTTTCATCCTGGACTGAGTCATAAAGGGACATTTATTAACATGGAATTAGCACTCCCCTCTGCTTCTCAGGGCCGGGATTGGTTTTGGACAGAATATAAAGGGGAATGGCAACACGGCAAAGAAAAGGAGAACCATTTGGTGAAGTACGTAATTACCCTGCAGTTGCTAATTAGCTGCATCCCCAGCCCTCCCAGTGTTACAGCCACCCTGGCTACAGCAGAAGCACTTTTCCCCTTTAACTCAAAAGGGGAAAATTCAGGTCTGGGGGTTGCATATGTATTTCTTGTCTCCTGCAGGAGATGAGTGAAGCTGAGTGGCGCCGCATCGAGGCTGAGTTCGAGCGGCTGCTGGCTGCTGGCAGAGCAGGGGCGCACCGTGCTGCGGCGGCTGCTGCGCTGGGTGACACCTTCGCAGCTACCGCGCTGAAAACTCATTGCGGGTGGCCCAGGGGGTTGCACAGCTCCACAGACTTATTGGGCAGCTGGAGGCCAGGTGCTTGCCCCAGATGAGTGCCATTCTTACCCAAAAGCTGTCCCCAAAGCACAGCCTGTGCTCCCTTTTTTTCTCCCTTTTTCCTTTTAGGATGTTGGGAGCATCAAAAGCAAGTATGTAGCAACTGGTTGCTTCACATCCTTACCACTCCAGCTGCGGAGAGGTTCTTGGCTGCTACATCCATCACATAACACCTGTCCCTGTAATTTCTTTTCCCAGCTTGAGTGAAATGGGGCTCCACCTCCCCTCGGGGCTCCCCAAGGAGCTGAAGAAGAGCCTGAGCTCCTGCTGCCACCAAAGCGATGTTCTATGGGAGGCCCTGGAGAAGTTAAGAGGTATTTGGGTAAAAATCGGATATTTTAGTAGAATTCAGAGGTATTTCAGGAGAATTTGGAGGCTTTGGGGAGGAATCCAGAGGTATTTGGGATAATTCAGATATTCAGATATTCATATGTATTCAGATAATTCAGATATTCGCCTATATTGGGGGGAGGAATTCAGAGTTATTTTGGGAGGAATTAATTTTGGGATAATTTAGTTATCTGGGGAAAAGTCAGAGGCATTTCAGGAGGAAGAGGAGCTTGTCCAGAGGAAGAACAGCAGCAGGCTCTGCAACTACTCACTCCCCACCTTCTTCCCTTCTCCCAGATGTGGATCCCCCCATGGGTCTCCCCACAGCAATGATGACGTTGGAGACTGTCACAACTCCTCTCCCACAGCTTTTGGCAGAGAGAAAAAGTGTGCTGTGGGATGAGGAGGAGGAGAAGGATGAGGCCAGAGAGCCCTGCTGAGGCCAGGAGCTGGCTAGTAGCTGTCAGGGGGTCATTGCCAGGAGATGCAGGGTGTGGACACAGTAGATGGACTCTGCAAGATGCCACCTGTGCATCCTCATCCTAGGTGCTGCCCATACTCCTAGGGAGACAAACGGTTTTATGATAAGCTCCTCTCCCAGCTGTTTTAATAAGTAACCAGTCTTGTGTTGCTGCTCACCATGTAGGTCATGAAGCTGCTCAGTTTTGGGGCAGAGCGGATTTTACAACTGTCTGGGAACATCGAACTTCTTTTATTGTTTTAACTACCTTATTCATAGCTATAATTCCTGATTAGTATTTTAAACATTATATGTTTTTTTATTATTTTTATAGCTCTATGATAAAATTCGCAACTATATTTAAACGTATATATGTCTTCTATTAAAATGAGATATAGATTATTGAAACTCCGTTAACGTTATTATAGTTAAAATACACACAACGGTGGGTTTTTATTTCACTTTAACCCTCCCTCTCCAAGCTGGTATGCACATGAGCTCCAGGGAACTCTGCTCTCGTACCAGATTCCTGCTTTAATCCTTGTCTCCTGGAGCCCCCTTCTGGCCTCGCTCTGCTTCCCCGGTGCAGCCGGAGGGGTGAGGATTCGCCTAGTAAATAATTTGTCCCTCCTCCTGCCGGCATTCCCTTCTGTCCGTGAGTCCCCGCTGGCGCTGGCCCGAGGGGCTGTTCCCTGACTGAGGCGGTGGGAATGTCGGACCCGCCCGGGATGCCTTTGCTTCCAAGCGTCCCGGCCCGCTGCCGCCTCCAGGAACAGCCCGGCCGCGCCTCCTCCGGTGCGCGCCTCCCCGTGTGCAGCCGCGGCTGCGGGAGACGCCATCAGACACCTCCCGGAGGAAACCACCTGCGCTGCCTGCTTGGGTTTCTTCCAAGACCCTGTCACGATCCTGAGCTGCGGACACAATTTCTGCCGGCGCTGCCTGTCGCGGTGCGCGGCGGGCGGCGCTCCGTGCCCGCAGGGCCGGGTGCCGTTCCCGCACGGTGGCGGTGCCTCAGGTTTTAGCTTTTATATTTTTTTAATTTTTTTTTTCGGTTCTGTACTGCTTTAGTGTGTAGTTCTGAGCTTCATATTAAGGGACAGTAAACTCTCTTCACAGAGTAGGTGGACAAAACTATTCCTTCTCTAGCTGGGGAGCAAGGACAGCCAATCCAAATCTCAGACCCAAGAGCATGAACAAGGGTGGACCAAAGCAAGGAAAACAAGAAGGGTTGGACTTCCAAACCTAAAGCTATAATTGGACAATTAACTCAAATATACTAATGAACCAGAACTTTAAAGAGTGAGACATCTCATGATTGGTTGTCCATTTTGTGACTATTTTGGGTTCATCTTGGATGTAGCCTTGGCTGGGCTCTTGTGCTGCCCAAGGTGTATCCATTGAGTGCTTTTAATACCTACTTTGATACTTTTTAATACCTACTTTATTCTTTAACTCCATCTAGCCTCTGTTCTAGGTCAGCCTTCACCAGGCATCAGTGGCTTCCGTCCCAACCAGCAGCTGTCCAGTGTGGTGGCAGCTGTGCAGGAGCTGGCCCCGCTGCCAGTGCAGGATCTGTGCCACAGGCACCATCGTCTCCTCACTGTCTTTGTCACCACGATGGAGTTCTTGTCTGCGCTGCTTGCAGCAAGCATCGAGCCCACCCCACTGTGCTGCTCCAAGAGTCCGCTCGCTGCTACAGGGTGAGCGGATCCCAGTCTCCGACACACCCTGCCTGAATGATGCTAATTTCCCTTAAAACTCAGCCCCCAGAATATTTATTTTGAGCAGAGGCAAGGCTTTTCCCTGTCTTTCTAGGGCGAAAAAAGCAATGCAAGCATTTAGAAGCCAAAAGTGAGCTGAAATGCTGCAATTTGGTGAGGGTTAAGTATGAAACAGTGTAACAGGCGGTAGTTTTGGGACCAAAACTAAATATTGGAGATTTCAAGCTCTTGCTGTCACCTGGCACCTGTGCTGTGGAGGGTTCTTATTCTGCTTCTGGGCATGGAGGGGAAATGGGGATCCCCAAAGGAGGTTTGGACCTGGCTGTGGGTGCAAGGGAAGGGTGATCAGAATTTTTAAAGATCTGATAGCACCTTTTTTACAGGAGACCTTGGAGAGATGGGATATCCCAGCCTGTCTGCGAGACCTGTAGTGCCCAGGTATGACTGTGTATTTACATAACTGTATGGATAAGGTGAGGGTGTGCATGCAGCATAACTATGAAGTTAATTATAACATGGATATGCATGTACATATCTGCTTCAGTGCAGCTACAGAGGAGGGTGAGGATGGGGCCATCTGCGCTGGCCATATCCCTGGTACTTCAGGGGTTCCAGCCCCATCTCCTTCTTTTCTTCCCTTCTCTAGGAGTAGAAGGGAAGAAAAGAAGGAGATGGGGCTGGAACCCTTCCCTTCCTTTTTCCCTGTAGAAGCTGTTTGAAGCTTCCCTAAAAACCCTGCAAGAGGAGGACAAGCCACATGCTGGGCTGACTGAGGCAGCAAAGGAGACAAGACAGGAGATGCTGGTGGGTGGTGCTGCCATCTGGGTGCACCATGGGGGCCACACTACTTCATTCCCCCTCTGGCATCCTCCTCCTTCATCCCCCAGACTCGAGTCAGTGCTGACAAGCAGAAGCTGCGGGTGATGCTGAAGGGGCTCCACTGGGTGCTGAGTGACCAGGAATCACAGTTTCTTTCCCAGTTCCATTGCCCGTGCTGGAGGTTGCAGGAACAGCAACATGGTCAAGGTGCTGAGATGTCATGGATCCAGCAAGGCCATGCAGGGCTCCAGGCCAAGTGCCAGCAACCAGATGGCAACGTGCTATGGGTGAGACAAAACTTGGCCCCAGAATCTGCTCCTCGCCTTTTTGGCTTTTATTCACATGAAAGCATCCCTAAGCATCTTTCTTCCTTCCTCTCCAGGATGTCTGAACCACCTTGAACAGGTATTGGAGCCAAAAAACATCGTCAGGAGCACCAGTTTTGGCCCCAAGCCCTCCATTTTTCAGATCTTCTTCTCCCCCTGTGTTCTTTTCCTCTGGGATTTTTGCTTTGGAGCTGGAAGAGGTTGATGGTTAATCCAAAACTTGGTGATGATAGGGGAATCTTCCATTGTATCTTGGTGGAGTGAGAGCCTTGCCCATGGAAGTAAAGATGTCCCAGTGGTTTTCTAGCAATGGGGAAAGGAAATTTGGTATTAAACACCCAATTTACTCCCCTCGAGGTGCACATTCCTCGAGAGAGGAATGTACAGCCATCACTGCTGTTGATGTCAGAGCTGGAAACAGCTTGAGGATTTCACTGGAAAAACCAACATGCTGGCAGAGGCAGTGACACAATTTAAAGGCGCCTGGAGGGTAAAAATTGGCAAAAAAGGTTATTTATTAAGCAAAAATGGGAAGGCAGATTTGGCTGGAAAGTGAAAGCATCACAGATGCTCATTTATTTCAGAGAAAATCGGGGATTTATTTGTGACTAGCCTTAAGTGATAGAAGACTGAAGGTGGGAGGTGCAGAATGCTATTGATGCTTAATTAGCACCCAAATTAGGATGCTAATTATTGTGGAGAGAGGTGATGCCCCAGGTGAATGAGGTTGTGTCTCCCACCTCAGGTCATCTTGCCTTCTCTGTGCAGCAGAGTTTGTATGGGGAAGGCCCAGGGCCAGATCTAGAGGTAAAAATCTTTGGAGTCATCTTCTATTTCCAGACATCTTGGAGTGCTCTCTGGGGGAAGAGAGAGGTAAGGTATCTTGCTTCAGGAACTTACTGAGCCCCCATTTGGGTTCAGTGCCTGGAACTGATGCTCTGGTGCAATTTTGGAGGTGATATTCCAATGCATAGAGGCTCATGAACATCCCTCTCCCTGCCAGCAGCCGTAACCCTGGATCCAGCCACAGCTCACCCCCAAATCCTGGTGTCATTAGATGGCTGGACTGCAGGCCACTGGGAATCACCCCCAGCTCCTCTGCCCTCAGAAAGGGAGTCTCTCTGCGGTGTTTTGGGTCAGCAGGACTTTGTGGGGGACTGTCCTTGCTGGGCCATGAAGGTTTGTCCCGGTCCTGACTGGGCACTGGGAATGGCTTGGGAATTGGTGTCCCATAAGGGCTGCTTCGGTCTCAGCCTGGAAGGGGCTTGGGTTTGGGCTGTGAGGCAGTGCTGGGGCAGCTGCAGGCTCTCACCTGGCCCAGCCCCATGTCTCTGCCCCACAACCACACGGTGCCTTGCATCGAGATGGCTGTGGATTACGCTGGCAGGTGGGTGGCTTTCCGTGATGGTGATAGATTGAAGTCTTTGCCTTTCCTCCACCCACTTTTGCAGGTGAATGACTCTGGCCACTGCTCCTACTGGACGAGGAGCCAGCTTTGCCCTCTGTCCCTGAGTTCCCCAAAAATCTACTATGAACCTCCCAAATGCAAACACTTCCACCACCCCAGCAAACACTCCACTCAACAACAAACAGCCCCACACCCCCCAGCCCCATTTAATTTTCCTTATAACATCTAATTTAACAATCATATTTCACTCTTTTGCTTCTCAGTAAGAGAACACAGGTATTTTTGGTTCCTCAGCTGTTTTCCAGTGGAAGCATGGACCACAAAAACAGGGAGAATGTCCCTAAAAAATTTTTGAAAACTCACCTTGAGGAAGAAAATGGGCTTTGCTGGTGCTGCTAGATGTCTCATAATAAGGTTTTGCAAGTGGAAACTTTTCTACTTTGTAGAGAATTTAGGAGAAGTGGGTTAAAACCATGTTTCACGGCTCCCAGGATCACTCAGGATTGGGCCTTTTCAGGGCTTTGTATTCATTGCCAGGATGTGAGCAGGGAGAGAAGCCACAGAGAGAATTTCATCCCCCATTTCACAAGTGAATAGAAAAGGAACAAAACTGAATGAACCGGTATCTTGAAGCAGCAGAAGGTTGTTGTTAGGGTTCAACCATGTGATAAAGTGCTGTTATCAGCAAGCCCAGACATGACTGGGCAGGTCTCTGCCTCTTGCAGTCCCAGTCCTCTGCTGCCAGAATTGCCTCCCCATCCACATGCACTCTTCACCTTGGTCTGAGGAAGAGGAGGAGTTACCAGGAAAGGCAGCAACTTCTATCTTCGGGACCCTAATTTTAGACAAGGGCCCTGACAAAACACAGGTCACAGCTGAACCCACATTACAGCCCTGCTCAGCTGTATAATTAGTTTTTTCCCTGTTTGACTCGTGGTGAGGTTGGTCTTTCCTTGAAAGACAAGGTCCAGTGGTGTGTAAAGCAAAGCACTTCTTTGCAGCATCCTGCTCCAACAGATGAGCTTCCAACACTCCATCCACTTTTCATCTAAAAAGCTTTATGGATATTTAATTTGCAACTCCATGCAAAAAACAAACAACAAAAACCCCTACCTTTTTGTGTAACTCATCAGCCCCACAGCTGGCTCTCCAGCATTGGGGTGGCAAGGAAATCAGCCTCTTCTTCCTCAAGGACAGTTCAACAGTGTCCTGTCAGTGGCTGGGAGGGCAGACGGTTGGGTGTGGAGGGTGCACAGCCCCTAGTCCTTGAGCAGTGCCAGCAGATGCACCTTGCAGCCCTCCCACATGGACCCTTGGACCCCAAAACCCCCCTGAGTGACAGGCACACCTCATAACAGCGCATGAAAGAGGCTGTGGGGAGTAGCTGAAGGGATTTTTTTCCACCCAAGGGTGGAAGTTTTTTCTACCCAGGGGCTGAAGTTTTTTCCCACAAAGCTGGGGCTCAGGGTACATTTGTGGGGGTTTGGGGCTTGAGGATGAGCATTCCCAGAGGGGAGTTTTAGCCATTGCCTCCTGCTTCTCCCCATGCTGTCCCTTTTCCACTGACACCTCAGGATCAGACCGAGTGGGAACTGTGCATCCAAGGGAAGTGCAGCAGGCATGGAGGGGCAAACCTGAGTGAGGACTGCAGCCCTCCAGGGTGCTAATCTTCTCCTACTCCTCACTGAGGTCCATTGTAAGTGGAAAGAGGTGGATTTTGGGGATGGGTTTACAACTGTTCAACTTTTTATCAACTGTTAATAATTTGTTGGTGTTGGTAGGTGCTTTAAAAAACGGAGATCAAAAGGCACTTTTTAAAATCAGCAGCTTGTTACATCCAGAAGGCAGAAAATACAGCTCCAGTGCAAACTAGGGCTGTGTCTGTGTTTTTAATCATCTGGTTTTGGGTACGTTTGCTCCCCAAGGGAGCAGTGGGAGATGGGGATTTTCCACCTTGAAACAATGCCCACAGGGAAGAAATCCCCAAATTAGGGAGGAACTTGTTAAAGAAATGGTGACCTCTGCACTGCTGCCTTGAGGAGAATGTGCTCCCCAACCCCTTTGTTTTTCTTGGGGGTTGATAGACCCTCCAATCCCTTTGTTTTTGAGAAGACTGCCCCCTTTTAAGAGAAAATAAGACTTGTTTTCAGCACTAGCAGTGGACATGGGGAAGAAACAGCTCCAAAAATATCCCTAAACCCTTCCAGAATTAACCTATATGCTGCTTGGAGGGAGCGGAGGCTTAAGTTTTTCATGTGTCACCACTTTGCCCAGTTCCCCGCTCCAGGGGCCTTTTCCCCTCTTCCTACCCAGTTTGTTGGGATAAAATGTCATAATTTCATTTAATTTTTTTCCATTTTGTAATTTCTCCTGCTCTGAGAAGAGGCTTTTTCTCCCCAGAATGAAGCAAAGCAGGATGTTTCTTCCTCCAAGTCCCGTCATTGCTCAAAATCCCCTCCAAAAAGCCACATCTGAAGGTTTATTTAAGCTAAAAGGAGCCTTTTAAAACAGAGGATGAAACACTATAGTGCATTATAGGGCCTCAGCAGCACAAATAGAGCTGATAGCTGGGTTAAGCAAAAGAGATCTGAATTTTGGGTTAGTTTTTAGTTTTTGCCTTCTATTCTGTAAAATAGTCACTCTGTATGGACCCATGCTTTAGACCCGAATTTCCCACATGGAGGAATTTCCCCCTGGAGCTATGGTCCCCCTGGAGCTATGGTGAATTTCCCACATGGAGGAATTTCCCCCATGGAGGAATTTCCCCCTGGAGCTATGGTGAGCCAGCTGTGCTTTGCTGCTCACCCAAATCCTCCACACAAAAACTCACCAAACTCCAAAAAAAAAGTATGAGCTCAGTGATTTACTGTGTCACTCATAACCTGGGACGGGTGTCTTAAACAAGGTGGTTTTGAGCCACACTGCAGTGCTGCCCCAGGTGGGACCCTCCAGGGAATGGGGACAGCCAGAGGTGAGGATATTCAGGGAGAAATTGATCTGTGAGAACAAAGACATCTAGGATGGGTGGTTGAGGACTTGGGGGGAAAGGGACCTCTGGGGCTGGCTGGGGATCCAGGGAGGTCGGGGGGCTCTGAGGCACGCAGATGACATACAGTATTGCAGGTCAGGGGTGGGTGATGTACCCATGTTGAGGTGGGCCCGTAGCCAGCTCCATGACCCTCTGCTCCCCCTGCACACTTTTGCTGCACACTCTGGGGCCACAGTTCACCACTCTCATGTCTGTACTCAACAGTCAGCCCAGGGGAAGAATGAACCTTCTTTATACTGGCACTTTTGTTTGACCAGCAGGTGACTGGCCATAAAATAATGGTGCCAAGAAGCAGGAGGACACTGATAGCTCAAAGCAGGTCCAAGCCCATTGTGATAATAGGATAATGCTGTGAATGCAGTGTCCTGGGAGGAGAGTCAGGAAGGCGCACTCTGGTTTCCAGGCCCCGAGGAGGTGCTCCAGCTCACTCCTCACCCAGAGTGTAAATCATGGATGATGGTGATGATGATATTAAACCCTGCCCTGAGCCTGATGCGGGAGAGGGAGCAGTGCTGCTCGGGCTCATCTCAAGCTCCCCCTAGATGTGTGGTGCTGCTGCAGCCTCGCCAAAGCTCAGTTCAGGGGCACCAGCAGCATGGGTGGGGGGACAACCCAGGGACTACACCTTTTGCACCTCCACAGCCCATGGGTTGGGGCAACCCCAGCCCCTCTGCCTGGCTCAGGGACACCTCCCATATACCCACATGACCCAGTCTAGGGCCTCACCCCAAGCTCTGCTGCTCCTGTCCCCACCAAAACTTCGCCCTTCCCTGTGGCACCTGTCCAGCTTTAGGGCGGCAGCTCTGAAGCGAGGGGATAGTTTTGAAATCAGTCTTGCTTAGAATACCTCAAACACAGCAGGTTAAAATTTTTTTATTAACTTGAAAAGAAATCCCTTTGGGCAGCTGTCCCGGTCTTTTCTTCATGCAGGACTCCAAACATCCAGTCAAAGCTAGCTGCCTGGCTGCTGGTTCCATCCAGGGGGACTGGATTTGCAGCAAATGCTGCAGTGCCCGGGATCAGTGTTTGAGGTCTGAAGCTGGCTGGTGCTCTACTAAGGTGGTGGGGCCTGGGCATGAAGGACAGAGCTAAGCTCCCTGAAGCCCAAGGGCATCTGCATGGCCAAAGACCCTCAGGGACAGGGTATTGGCCCCTGCCTTCCAACACATGGGCTGTTTTCCCACACTGGCCAGGGCCATCCCCATGCTGCACTCTGTCTTGAACACACCCGAGGACCAGTTGTCCCATCTGCCAGTCACCCCCCTCCATCCTGCTTCCACCCCTCCTCAGCCTGCCCCAGACCCCAGACCCTCCCTGCACCTGCCCAGGTGTGCAGACAGAGCTCTGCTCACCCATCACCAGCAAAGAGCTGGTGCTCTCTCCCCCTAGCACTGGTGTCCTGACAGGCCATACCCAGCTTATCCTGTGCCCTCTTTGCCACTTCAGGCCCGTGCTCCTGACCTTGATCCACGCAGTCATCTGTGCCCAGCAGCTCAGTCACGCCAGGCTGGAAAGGAGAGAATGCCTGGCTGCAATGTGGGGCTCAATTCAGCACTCCCAAGCAACACTCCCCACCCATCTCTCCTTGAGAAAACTGAGGTAGGGTGGCTTTCAGAGATGCTCTGCATCTCTATCCCAGCCTTGTTCCTCCCTGACGTTCTTCCCTTCACAATGCTTACCTTTTTGGAGAGGTGTAGTTCACCCTTGAGCAGTGCATTAGATGTGTCCCGACCCTTGCAGCTCTGTGACTTGAGGAACTTGCTATTGACCAGCTTCCTGAGGGATGGGGCATGGAGATGCTCATTGTCCAGCACTGTGGTACCCTGGGCTTCATCCCACTGTGCCAGAGACGGGGGCAGAGTGTGCTCCCTACTGACACATGTCCCTGCTGACTCCTCTACAACTGCTGCAGGAAACCCATGCCTGTCCCACTCTGCTGAGTCCCCGCCAGGCCTGAGGTCAGGCTGTGACCAGATACAACCGACAATATGTGGCTTCAGTGCCACTGAGACCAGGGCTTGAGCGGGGCAGGAGGGGCTTTAAAAGCCCAGACACCTGGGACAAGTACAGCTCACCCTCTGTGGGCCCCTCTGCTCCCCTACCCTACCCTGCCCAGGCCCCCTGGCCCCCTCTGCCCCCCATTCAGGACAGAGATCTTCCTTGCCAAGTCAGGACTATCCCGGCATGCCAGATGGGTCCCCATGTCCCCTACCTGTGACCATGCTGTTGTGCTTGCTCCTCGGTGGTGATGGTAGGGGGGTGTGCAGCGTGGCTGCCGGGCAGCGGTGGAAAGAGCGGCAGTGCGTCAATGTGCCTGGGGAGGGCAGGGGCCGTGGGTGGGTGACAAGGGACAAGTGAGCCACCCCAGCTTGGGGCAGCGCACCAAAACCTATAGGCTTGTACCCCACAGCACCCCTCTGCCTGCTGCCCTCAGGGAGGTGTTTGTGGAGGGAACACTCCACATCTGAAAGACTTCAGAGGGAGCTCAGCAGAGTCAGACCCTCCAGACCCCTCAGGAGAGTCTAACCCCTGTGCCTGAGACAGCAGGGCACCACCAGCAGCCATCCCCTGTCCCACCCAGGCAGCCCCCAATATACCGGGGCAGGGTGCTACTCACGCGCCAGGCACCTGCACGTTGAGCTGCCGGTCGCAGGACAGGCACTTGAATGGGACCAGCAGCTGCCTAAGGGAGAAAGGGCTGGGTGAGCTTCTGACAGGGCTGCAGTGCACACAGCCAGCAGCTCACAGGCAGCAACAGGTGCCAGGCGCATTGCTGCAGGGAGCCTCCATGTTCGCAGGGGGAGTTGTGGCTGGTTTTCTTCCCACCCAAGGGGACAAGGAGATAAGCTTGCCTTGGCAGCACTGGAACTGCTGAACTGTGGCTGTGGCCCATAGCTGCCCAGAGCAGGCAGGGATATGAGGGGAAGGGTTCAGGCACCCACAGCGCTATCCAAACAAGCCCTTGCCCCAGTGTCATCGCCTTGTCAGTGCTCACAACTCCCCTGCATCTTGCCAAGGTGGGCAGATCATGACTGAGGCTTGTGGCACCATGTGTTGCACCCTTGCCCAGGCAAACAACCTTCTGTTCTCCATCCTTGAACCTCTGCACCCACACCCAGTTCTGGTTTGGAAAACTCCATTTTGCAGATTCCCATTCTTGTGCCTCCTTTGATGTAGGGAACCTGATACTGATGGGTGAAGAAGGTGTAGCTGCTTTGTCAGCATTCCTGGAGTTTGTTTGCTACATTTTTCTGATGCCAGGGTACCACACAGGAAAGAATGAGGCCAGTGCTGTTGCCAAAGCCAGTACCATCCCACTGCACTCACTGCTTAATTCCAGCAGCGTCATCAATCTCTACTGTCAACTCATCCTTGAGATCCTTAATGATCTTTGCCCACGTATCCTCTAGCTGCTTCTGGAAAGGCCCAAGCTCCAGGCGATCCAGCTGTGGACAGATGCACACCCTTAACCAGGTGCTCCAGGCTGGAACATGGTAGTCCACAGGGAAAAGCCAGCAGAGTGGGGAGCCTCAGAGGGAGGCTGCCTTGGGCTGCAAAGCCCCCAGGGAGCCAGTTTTGTACCGTGAGCATAAGGCACCCCTCACCTTGGAGTCCAGGGCATCACTGAACTGCTGCTGGGCCTCCTGCCAGCGCTGCTCCTGACCCATCACCCGTCTCAGCAACTCCCGCATCCTCTCCTCCACACGCTCCATGCTTTCATCAAAATGGGCACAACTGACTTTGCTGCCCAGGGCAGCTTTGTCCACTTTCTAGCAGGGAGGAAAGACAGGAGAGCGGTGGAGACAGGGCAGAGGTACAAGAGGCAGGGCCAGCATGTGTTGGGGATAGAGGCAGAAATGTTCCTGGGGGGCCATCCTGCCCTTTTCAGGGCTGTGTGGCCTGCTTACCCCATCACCCCCATGGGGTCAAAGGGACTTAAAGAGGGAGACAGAGGGACCTGGCAAGGGTTCTGCAGCCAGTCTGGAAGTACTCACACCCTCCCCCTTCCCCATCCAGGCCAGTTTTGCCACTGCACGCCCAGAGGGCAGAGGGCATTTGCCACCCTGCCCCAGATCCCTTGGGCTGAAGATGGACCTCTCAAGACCATACCAGCAGCAGCAGGTCCTCCTTGTCTGCTTTCTTCTCGAGACCCTCCAGGGACCGGAACAGAGCCTACAAATACAGAAAGCATCTCATGACACCACAGCAGGGTCAGAGCTGTGTTCTGGCCAGCCAATGCTCTTTGGGAAAGGCCATTTGAACCAACAAAGGGCTTGCAAGCAGGTGGGCAGGGGATCAGACCTCTGTGTGATCAGACCATCCTTGGTGTGCCTGGGGGATACTTTGACCCTGTGGGGGTCCAGCCACCAACCTCGATATCTTTCTGATGCTGGCGATGGTCATCCCGGAGGCTCCCCGTGACATAGCCCAGCTGCTCGCAGTCCCCTTCCACCCGCACAACGGTGGCCTGGATGCTCTTTAGCAGCTCCTCATCCTGCTCCAGGGAGAAAGATGACAAGATGATGTCATGCAAGGAGTATCTGCCTGCCCTCAAGGACAGATCTGGGTTACTTGGCCATGAGCACTCAGTGCCAGCTGGACATTTGTATCAAGGCTTTAATTTCCTGCCATACTGCCAACCCGTCCAAGCCAACCTGGGGGGTTAGCAAGGGGCTGCTCTACATTACAGTGAGCACAGACAGAGGCTCCTGATACAGCCTCCCAAGCCCCAGCTCCTTGTTGCCAGTTTCCCACCTGGGTCTTCTCTGGCAGTGACCTCTGCAGCTGCTGTGGCACCAGGGAGTCCACCTGATGCTGGAGCCTTTCACAGCGGTGTAGGAGCTTCCTCACAAGCTTGTTGTCCAAGCGTGACTCTCCCTGCTGCTGCCTTGCAGTTCCCATCACTGCCCTCAACTCATTCAGCTGCAGAAAGGGGAGAAGGAATAGATCTTGAGACAGAATGGATGCAGCCATCTGGTGCCCAGATGGCCCTGACCAGGCAGGGAATGTGGCCAGGAACCCCACAAGGAGCAGCCTGCCATGCAAGACAACAGTTGGAGTGCTGCCTCCAAACCTCACCTGCTCCTGAAGCTGGTCAGCTGTGACCAGCTGCTTCAGTGTGGCCTTGGTAATATTCTGCTCCTCTCTCAGCTCCTTCTGCTCCTGCTTAATCTCCAGCAGCGCAGGCCTAGCCAACAAGATGAGGAAACAGGCAGGCTGAGCCTCCACAAGGCCACCTGGAAGGTGAGCTTTGCTCCCCAAACCCGATGCTCCTGGATTGCCACCCCCCATACCTCCCAGCTCCCCTGCAGCCCCATAGGATACAAAATCCTCTTCCCATCCTCTTACTCCAGCTGCAGGGGGATCTCGTTGGTGCCATCCACTTTGCGCTCGGCTACCGTCACACCCAGCTTTCCAAGGGTATCCTGCAGCTGTCTGATCTGGGAAGGGTGGTAGTGGCAGAGTCAGGGCATGGACCCCATGATCTTTGCTTGCCTCCTCTCTACCAACTCTCCCTGGCATCCTTGCAGCCCCCTTAGGGACTGCTATTGGCTTACCTTCTCCTTCTCACCCTGCAGGTCTTGGACCAGGTTCTGCAGGGAGGACATCTGGCCCTGGAGCTCAGACAGGTCTCTGAGGATGCTCTCCATAGCTGGAAGGCCTGCTTGGAAACCAGGCTGTGTCCCAGTGGTGCCACTTTGGGCACTGGGGGTCCCTGTCTGCATCCCAGGGGTGGTGCTCTGGGTACCAGGGCTCTGCCCTAGCTTGTCCATGTCCGAGGTGTGGGGCTTGGCAGGGGCAGGCTGGTCGTGGAGGACCAGTGGCTGGCCAGCAGCATCCTGGAGGCTCCTCTGGAGTGGAGTGAGAAGATGGATTGCAGTCAGAACCCAGGAGCATCCACAAGTGATCTTGCATCCAAGCCAGAGAGACTCTTGGTGGGATGTGGCTGCCAAGCACTGGTAGATCTTTACCTTCTTTCCTTCCCCATTTTCCCTTTTTTCAGGGCTGCTTAGTTCAAAGGGCCTCAGCAACCCTGTGGCTGAGGCAGGCAGTGACATCTACTACCACACTGATCTGCAGGCAGAGGTGGGGGCCTCCTAGTGGGCAAGGCTGAGTTTCTATGCTTCCCTCACAGGACATCCTTCCCACTCTTCCATCCCAGTGACCTTCACAGTGAGTGACACCCACGGACACAGGGCAAGGTCTTGAGAGGCAGGGAGGCCCAATTCCATCCCAAAGGCAACAGCTCACCTGGCCAAGTGCTTCCTGGATCATCCGGATGCCTTTTCCCATGCGGGACTGTGTGGCTTTCATCTCATTGATCTCCTTACAGAGATCCTTGCAGAGATCCGTGGTCTAGAAGAGGAGGATAGGGGGGATGAACCTCAGGGGAGGGTCCCTGGGGACCTGCAGGACCTTTGCCTGCACCATGGTCTGTGGAGCACAGCCAGATAGCTGGGCACTGTGGGCTGCACTCTCCATTCCTCTGGCATGGCTGGATGCAGCTGAACCTCCGGTGCACAGGGAGGTCACTGGCTGCTGTCTCACACCTGCAACATGCTGATGGTGGCAGCTCACCTGGCCAAGTGACTCCTTAATCCTCTGGATTTCCTTTCCCATGCTGAGCTGTATGGTCTTAATCCCAGCCATCTCCCGGTGGGACTCCTGGGAGAGAGCAGTGGCCTAGGAGAGACAGGTGGTGGAGGTGAGCCCCAGGCCAGCAGCTCCCCAGAGACTCCCACTCCTGTCCTGGGAGCCTGTGGCACACCCTGGGTCAGCAGGAAGAGACCCAACATGGGAAGGACCTAAAGCGCCCAGAGCAGTGTTTCAGCCCCAGATTTTCTCTCCAAATCTCCCCCCTTTCCCACAAAGAAAGTCAACATGCTGCTCGGAGCTTGGGCTTCAAGCAAACCTTCGTATAAGGGCACAGACCCCAGAGGAGGGGGCGTCCTGGGGGGGGCACCGAGGGGGGTGGGAAAAGCCACTACCTTGGAGATGCCACTCTCTTTGGCTTCAATCTTCTCCATCTGTCCCTCGTCGGCAGCCACCGAGGTGACAGGAGAGCGGCTCCTGGTCTCCTGCAGCTCATCCTGGCCGGGCGGCGGCTCCCCCGGCGGCCCGGAGCGCTGCCCCGCGCCCCGCGCCCCCTCCTCCTCCTGCGGGCCGGGCGCGGCCTCCTGGGCCCCCGCCTCGGGAACCGCGTCCTGCAGACCCAGCAGGCTCAGGTGTTCCACAATGACCTCCAGCAGTCTGCGGAGCGCCTCCAAGTTGATATTGACTTCGGGCTTCCCGATGGCGTCATCCAGCAGCTGTAACAGGCTGACTGAGACCATGGCTGCTGCCCTGCCCGGAAACTCGGCACCTGTCCGTCCTCCGCGCTCGGAAGGAAGCCGCAGCTGGGAATGTGGGCAGCCGGCAGCCTCCTTCCTGCTCTTCCTCTGCCTTCCCGAGCCCCGCGGCACGTGCCTGTGTTTGTGGTGTCGCTTGTTGCCGGGTAACGCCTGGCCCTGGCGGTGCCGGAGTCATGGAGAGGCCGGCTTGGGAGGGACTTCTTACTCTCATCGAGTCCCATGTTTGCAGCTGTGCCGGGCCAGGGACGCCTGGCTGAAGGGGTCCTCCCTGATGGCCCCCTTTTCCCTCAGCCACTTGGATTGGGGGAACATGTGGTTAGGAACCCCAAAAATTCCCTTGTTCTCCTTGATCTCCACCTGCGTTCTGCCTCGGGCTGGGAGGACAGCTCTGGGGGTACCCCAAGGCCCTCCGTGCCCTCAGGTGTCGTCCCCGCTTGGGCTGCCGCGGTACAGCGCAGCTGAGGGCAGAGATTCAGCTGCCACGGTGCTTCCAGCCGTGGGGCCGAGCAAGGGCCAAGTGCTGCAGTGGAAGGCCTGGACACACACACACACACGGACACATGGCCTGAGTTAGGGACCTGGTCAGTCTCAAAATCCTGGAAAGACCCAGGAGGCTGGATGTGGGGGCAGCAAAGAGAGGTGGTTTTGTCCACACTCACTCCCTCTTTGGGCTCTCCGAGACAGACCACAGGTGGCACCCCAAAACACAAAACTCCCAGGTGTTTGGGGTGCCCACCACAACCAGGAGGGGACATGCATTTGGGCATCTCCTCAAAGAGATTTTGGTGTGCTTTCCCTGAGATGGCCTCTGGATAGGACCCAGATGCCCAGATGGCCCCCCGGACCAGGATGGGATACAGATGTCTGGGTAGCCCCCAGCAGCCAGGAGGAGACCCACGTGTCTGGGGTTCCCCCAAGGCCAGAAGTGGAACACTGGCATCCAGGCTGTCCCCGCACAGCCAGAAGAGGACCCAAGCATCATTTGGGGGTTCTGAGGGGAGGCAGCTGGGGGGCAGTGGGTGGGGGTTTCCCCATCACCTTCTGCACAGTGCAGTGGGTGCCCTTGGAGTTGCTGTTATCCTGAGGGGACTCCCACTCCAGCATCACATTGAACTCCAAAACCTGCTTCACCTCCACTGCTCAGACATGGAGGGGGAAGGCCACTCTGTGGGGCAGCCTTTGCCCCATGATCCTTAGACCCCAAAATAGTTCCCAAAACCAGTTCATGACCCTCAAATATCCACCATGGACCACAAATACTCCCCCAGAATGCCTGCCCTAGCAGATCCAGCCTCCAAACCACACCCCAAAGCACACTGCTCCTATTGCCCCCAGTGCCTCCCATTCCAGTATGGCCCAGTGGTCCCGGTACCCTCAGCCCAGTGCTGCCAGTACTCCTACACTAGGACTCCCAGTATAGCTCATCTCAGTGCTACCAGTGCCCACTGAGAACATGCAATGAGAATGCCCTCTCAGGCTGCCAGCAAGCATGTCCTTCCTAGCACGGCCAGCCCAGCTCCTCCATCCTAGTGCTTCCAATACATTCAGTCCCAGAGCTCCCACTAGTCCATCTGCCACTGGTGACATGCAGTGGGAAGGCAGCTGGGCCTAAGATCTGCTTTGACATAACCAGGTTTTCCAGCTCAAATTTTAAATAAGTCTCCTCTCCTCTGGTGAGAAACTTGTAAGTGATTCTAACACCCTGGCCCTGACCCTGATACAGCAGGTTCATTTGGGGGAAGCAGAGGGCCATGGAGCTGGGAACAGGGCCACCTCAGTGTGAGGATGTTGCCTGCCCATGACCCTCAAATCACATGTCCCCTGAGAGTCTGAAGGTCCCTGACCTCAGAGGATCCTATACCAGCGCCAAGAGGTCCTTGTCCCCAGAAAGTCCCCATCTCCACTGGAGGTCTCTCCTCCTACAGCTAGGAGCAGTACCCTGAGATGGGGTAAGGGTCCCCATGGCTCTGGGGCAGGTCACCGAGCACCTTGAAGACCTTGACCCTGTGAGAGACAAGTGATGCAGAAGGGGTTTGTGTGGTGATGGCAGGATGAGGGCAGAGATCCCAGGGTGTCCCAGCATGGGAGTCCACTGGCTGCCTCCTGCCTGCCCATGCAACACTGGTCAGTTTCTGTTCGTATCAGAGAATATGAAAGAACAAGTGAATTGCATATGTCACGATGGTTTTTATGCAATTTTAGGTCTTGTGGATCTGATATAGCTGGCCTGTGTGTGTTGACAGACCTGTGTATGTTTATGTGCAAGTGCTTTCTTTGTTCAGAGTTAAGAGTCAACTAAAAGTCCCTGAGTATTTCAGCAAGGATGGGTGTGTGGGTAACCTGGTCCTCCAGGTCAAATTAAATTAAAGTCACAAACACTATTCAAAATGCAGAGTCCAATCCTGTGATAAACTTCTGCAGCCCCAAAACCCCTACAAGAACATAACAACATGGTGTAAAGAGCCAAAATCTGCAGATGCCTTTCTAACAGTGATTCTTCACCACTCTCCAAATCTTCCAGACCAGGAGACTATGGAAAAGAGGAGATGTTGCTCAAGCAGGGTGTTTCCACATATATAGATGGTACACCCTTGCAATACTGTGTCAAGAAAAGCATCCTTGGACTTAAGAGGATCTTCAGCATATGCTTTGGTGTCTTGGTTGTAGATGTAGTACTATCAACACCTGCTCAGTTGAATCTGAGCAGTTAAATAAGTTATAGGTAAACAATCACCTGCTTAGTGTGTGTTTAATAATAGCATAGTCCAAATCCAGGTCATCATCTGTAGTTAGAGGGGTTTCTTGCAATCTCAGCACTCTCCTCTTAAGCATCTGCTTTATTGGAGGAAGAGAGTAATTCTTGCCAAAACTACAGCTAAATCACTAGAGACAATAACATAAATCCTGAATTTTATGGGCTTTGATTTTCTTGTTATAGATGAAAGAACTCTTAAGGAGATGGTAGTAGGCTAAAACAAGAGTAAAGAGAGAAATTATTTATTTGTAACACATTAGGAACACTTTTCACAGTACATCATTAACAGGGTGACTACATAATAAGGTGATCATAAAAGGGTGACTTAAAAAGCTGGTTAAAGACAAGGCATAGATTATAGGCTAGTCATGGAAACTAGACTTTTTCCTCCCATAAGCAAAGCTGCACAAATAAAGACTGTCTCATACTATTTCTGCAAAGGTAAAAGACTGATTTACTCAATCTGTATATTTTCTTTATATTGTATAAATTTACCAATACTTAGATTAATGTTTTCATATAGTTTATGATGTTAAATTTAAATACAGTATTATGTCTCATTAATTTAAGGTGCAATTTATCAAAATCTACAGTAAATATTTTCTTCTTAATCAGTTCTCTTTGGCACACTTCTGGTCTGTCTAAATACAAAAGTGTAGGATTGAATCGAGTATATAACACTGCAGGTACTTGGAGGGATTTTATTAGCAAATGAATGTGATTTTATGCTTACCACAAGCTTATTCACAAAGAAATAATTGTATATTGATTTCATTTTAATTTATATATAAAATGGCTAACTACTTCAATGTGCAAGGCAGAAAAAAAAATTGTTACAGCAACTCCTCCCTTGAAAGAGTGATTTTTGCACCATGGAAATCTTGTATAAAATGTTATAGAAAATGGAGATTTTTAATGAGGAAGTTCTCGGTACTTCTTATCTTACAGCAAGCCACCTGAGGACATGATTTTCTAGGTCCAGAAATGGTTCATAAGATACAGTTTAGCTGACAGGTTGGCACTGTAGTGGTGTTGCAGCTATAAACTTGCATGTTCAATTGACAAACTAAACCAAAGAGCCAAAAAAACCCAACCAGTCTGTGTAAGAAGTTTAGTGAAAGTGGCTTCTTTCTATGAGAAAGGTCTTGTTCCTATATTCTTGATATATGTATTTATATATATGTCTATCTGTTTTTATTGCAAGGAAGAAACATTTAGAATTTGCACTCTGCACTTTTGTCTCCATGACCTCTTCTTACTCTTGGGCTGACTAATATTTTGTTAAAATCATAAATGGACAACAGAAAATGTACTTCTGTTTCTGAAGGAAATATACGAGGAGGCCATCAAAGTTGACCTAAATAGGAAAGTATCATTTTACAAAAACTCTTCAAATGCCAGAAGAGCAAGTCAGAGCAATTTATTTCACACCTGGAGGCCAATACCAGTGGCCTGCATTCACAGGTATGAAGAAACCTGTGAAAGGTATGAGGAAACTTAGCTACATAAATACTGGACCTCTTTCAGTGACTAATTATTTCACAATTGAATAAAAACTAAACCCTATTCACAGTACAATGTACTTATCTCAAGGCCCTTCTGGTCTGTTTATTCCTGAATCACGCAAGTAGTATCCCCTCAGCTGCAGAAATTAGTATTTTGGCAAATGATCAAGTTACAGGAGTTGTCAAGTACTGTGCAACCTGTTTAGAAGGCAAGGATGTAAAAAGGGATTTCATACAGGTACTTTGTGATATGGTGATGTGTAAAATGCTATGCTAATCCTGAGTAAAACACATTTGGCTGTCCCAGCTAATGACCGATTTATGAGCATGCTGATTTCAGAGAGGCATTTCACAGCCTTAGGAATAGTATATATTCTTAAAAAAAAAAGTATTTTACAACTGTCTTTTCTTCAGCCTATCAGTAAGGACTAACAATAGTGAGTTCATACTGTTGAGAGAGATGATGAGAAGGGGCATGGTAAGGAGAATCAGAGTCTGTGTGGTAAATCAGATGTAAGTGAGATGTAATTAATTCTCAGTTTCCTTTAAGCTTTTTGAGATATTGCATATGGCCATGTCCCTTAGTGCTCCTGTTTTATCTGAAAGCTACTGGCTTTAGAACTGGGATGTTTGTGTGAAGGATATGGTATCAGATTTATCTATAGCAAAGCCTCCATTGATGTAAGATTTCTTGGCCTGTGTTTCATCATTATCAAGTATTCCTGTTTCCAAGGCAAAAGGATTGACTATGTTGACTTCAGAGGTGACATCCATCTGCTCCAGCTCCTTTTTTGAGAGCTTCTCCACTATTCCCGTACCAAAGGCGTCTCCCAAGACATTCACCATTGTTCTGAATCGATCCCTATGGAACAAAAAAGTTGACAGACAAATCATTAGTTGTTTAGAAAATTGTTTTAGTAAAAGTAAGGTACTCTAGCTCATGCAGCACTGTTTTCTTCCCAGTGCAGATTTAGGTAATTATTCAATTAAAAGAAAATAGTCTTTTAAAACAAGAATCAGAATTTTACCCACAGGTATTTGAAGAAGACTGGAGTAATTTTAATGAGAAATTATTATAGGACATGCAAAACTGCATGTCACTTGTCTGTTAGAGCAGCAATTCCACTGCTATGGCATAGCCTTACAAAAGGTTGGAAGGATCACCTCTCAGGCTGCTGAAGTATACTACAAAGCTGGTTCCCTTTTGTAATGATAGACTGTAGAATGCAGCAGCAGTGTCTGCATTGTGCCTTTTGTCATTCTAACAGTCATGTCCTCACCAGAAGAGCACCTAGCCCAGTATGTCCAGTATTCTGGCCCAAACCTGGAAAAGGGAAAGGCCTGTCTTCTGCTATCTTCTCCTTATTAAAAAGGGCTGAAGGACAAACCTTTACTAAAAAAGTCACTTAAAGGAATATGATACTCCTGCACTGTGGATTTTTCTCCAGACAGAAATGTGACATGAAAAACCTGCTGCTACTTGACAGAGGAACAACAAACCCTTGCAACATAACAAAGTTTGAAAATCAACATGTAAGTATGGTATGGAGAGTGGAAGGCTATGCTTTCCTGTTTTTCTTTTCAGCTACATAGCACTACAAAGGCTCTGTGGCAGAACAAGTTTTTCTTGCTGTGCAGAGACATTGAGGTGCATATATTTACAGTATTTTGCAATACTTCTACAACTGCTAATTCTAGTGCTAAAAAAGTTTTCTATGCACAACAAAAATATATTGTAGGGAAAGGAAGAGAGAATAGTAAAGATTCTAATAGGATCAGTGTGACAAGTGAGGAAATAAACAGCACTGGAAACTCATCTGTTATAAAGCACTACTCAATTTAATTTACACAGCAAAACACATCTTAGTCTGAAAAATGCCTTGTTTAGAACCAGAAACATCTTTATTTGCATGTTTCATGGTGGAAAAAGTACCTTCCAGGTACTCATCTTGTGCCTAAAACCCACAAAAGCCATGGACTTCTAAAGTGGAGTAAAATTCAGATCCATAAAGTCATGATCGCTCTGAGAAATAGGGTATTGTTCTCTTTCTCTCTCACTCCCATAAGGTAAGTAGAGGACATCAAATGAAATTATTAGTGTGTAGATGAAAACAAAGAAAATTCAATTATATCTCTGCATCATTAGAATGTGGAATTCATCTCCCTAGGACTTGTGGAAATTTGGGTCCCAAAGCAATGAGGCATTCACAGAAGAAGACAAAAATCACTTCTAACTCAGGAACTCTCTGCTCTGCAATTTGCAGGAGGCTGGGCAAATACTTTGGAAAAAAGGAACCATTATTTGTTTTTGCTGTTCTTAGACTTTTTAGATACCTGCTCTGAGCCAGTGGTTTGTACTAATCTGCACTATCCTTAAAAACATTAAACGCCCACTAGGAATAGAACAGAGCTGGAGAAAACAAAATTACTGTGGAGCACAGCAAACAAACTATTAGACCCTGTTGCAGACAGCTGACTGGGAGAATGTACTTGTGGATGGAACTGGTTCCTTTGGAGAAATTATGCTTGTACATAAATTGAATTGATTCTTGCATCCATACAACAGCTCTGATTTCCTGGAGACTGGTATTACATAGGTTGCTGCCAGAAATCCTTCAATAAAATTATTTGAAAGGCCAGAGGAGGAACAGCAGGGCATTTATTTTGAGTGTAAGTAAACCTAAAGAAAACACGCAAATATTATGAAATTATTAAAATCACTGGACTGATACCAGTGAAATGTCATCCCTGCAAACTACAGGTGAAAAAGACCTTGGGCTGACCACTAAAGCTCACATAGTTTAGGAGGCAAAAGAACTGAAGTGATATTTGTTAACTTGTGAATCCTGTTACTGTATATATCATGGGACAAAACTGAGTACTGATAGTCTTCTGACCTTCAGAATACACTCTGTGATTCTTTGGGCCTTTGCAAAAGTGGCACAGAAACACACTGTTGTAACTTGAACAGAAAAGATTTCTGGTGAAAAGGCTTCTCTCCAGAAAGAGCAGATGAATGTGACCAAGAGGTTTTGAAGTGCTCTGATATGGTTTGGATTGGGCATAAGAATCACTTTCCAAATTTAGATGTGTGCTTGTTGATCAAGGGCTGGGCCAGTGTTCTCAGTGAAGAACAGCCTAGCAAAGTAGGGCTGGCAGCACAGATGTGTGTACAATCTGCTATATGTGTGTATGTGGAATCCAAGGTCAGTTTTGCTTTGTTCATTTGTGCTCCACTGCCAGTTTATGGATATTATGTGCTTTGCAGCTTGTGGCTACATTTGATTTTTATGAATGATGTATGTGTTTAGCATAATGTGGTGGCATCTCTGACACTCTAGAGACATTTCTTGTCTGTCTTGAAGATGATGCTCATCATTTGTTAGTGCTGTGACCACTATTTTAAGGCAGAAAGCATCTCTGAATGTGAGGTTATTCACTGCCATCCCCTGAAGGACTTCTCTCACAATCAAAGCCATTACTGCACTCAACTCTGAACAAGCCTGGCCATAAGAATAATCTGTGTCCATTTTCTGCAACAAAATTATTTTATTGCTTTCTTTCTCAGATTCACACATTTCTAGGCAACTTATGCAAACATTAAAAAAAAAGATAATACATAAATGAAAAAGGAAAAATAATTAAATATGAGGTGCCTTAAACTTACAGAAGCCAGTCAACTGCAATGATCAGAGTAACATCCTCAGCAGGCAGGCCAATGGCACTCAGCACAATCACCATGGTAACAAGTCCGGCTTGGGGCACTCCTGCAGCCCCGATGCTGGCTGCTGTAGCTGTGACGCTAAATCCCAAATAAAACACAGAAAAGGCATTCAGAATACATGTTACCCATAGAAACTCTGTTTTCTGGCACAAATAGTTTAATTTCACTGCAAGAAGGAAGTCTAAATGTTTCAGTTTTCCTCTTGAATAGTATTTACTCAAAATCTGGTATCAAGAGTATAGTTGTACTCTTATGGTTACACTGCAGAATAACAGGCAACACATGTCTAGCAAGCAAACTGGATGGATCAAAAGTAGAAGCTGAGAAAGGGTTGTGTTTGCAGGGAAGAATAATGGCAATTTTCATAACACTGATGTATACCAGCTGCATATCCTGATTCATACTACCTCCCCATCAGGTTGCACTGGCTAGGCCTTCGGTCAAGAAGTGAGAATGTTTGTTATTTCTTGTGCTGTGAATGATAGTTTAAACTTTCCCATGGAGTATCCAAAGTTAATGTAACATTCACAAAAAAGCTCACATCCCACAAAACGCATATGATGGCTTTAGACTTACCTAATGGTAACTATTTGGCCAATATCCAGTTCTAAGTCATTCAGCTGTGCAATAAATATGGCTGCTACTGCTTCATAAAGAGCAGTGCCATCCATGTTGATGGTAGCTCCAACTGGAAGAACAAACCTTGTGATTCTTTTGTCAATCAAGTTTTTTTCTTCTGCACAGCGGAAGGTGACAGGCAAAGTTGCTGAACTGGCACATAATGAAACACATAAAATAAGTGAAGGCAACAACACACCATTTCTATTACGTTTCCTTTTGCTCAGAGCATGATCTGCTTTATGACTCAAAAGGAGATCTAAGGCAGGAAGGAAGGCTACACCATGAAAAAGCAAAGCAACTTTTGTTATACCTTCTAATAACGGGAAGAAATAGCTAAGTATTAGTTGTTCTTAAAATTACATGGTAAATTGCCATGGTATATGTAGTCACAAAAAATGTTCAATAGCTTAAATGCCGTCAAGTCTGCAGCTAATGAACTGAATGGCAAAGAACTGCCTCCTCCAGGGAGAGGCAGACCCTTGTTTGGTGTAAGGCTAAGGCACTCTAGAGCCCTTTGGGTGTGACATAAATAATGATGAAAACAGTGTTTCAGCCTTCAGGGACTGAGAACTGTCCAGTTGATACCATGGCTTTTAAAAGAGTAGCAATAAAATCAGAGCACAGATCATGCAATTACTACTAGGTACATTACAGAAAAGATGTTTCTTTTGTTTACCTGGAAGAGATCATGAGGGCTGTCAAAAGTGCCTGAGCCATCCCCATGGCAAACCGAAAAGGATTTTTCCTTACTATTATTAAGTAGATAAGCGGCAGAACTATACTGGAATGGATTGCAAGTCTGCAGAAAAAAAAAAAAAGAAAAAAAAAGAAAAAAAAAGAAAAACAAATCAACTAGTTAAACAAATAGATCCATCTCATTGTCTTTCTTTACTAAGATGGTGATAATAGGTACCCAGCTCTGTCCTCAAGTATACTTATGAAACACTAAAGGTGGCTTTAGTGACACCTAGGTGCAAAACTTAGAGAGAATGCCACACTAATAAAAAGCAGAATAATGCTGTTCTACACTTCCTTTTGGAAAGGAGAGAGAGACCATATATGATTTGTCTCTCCTAAGCTGAGCAAGAATTGACTTGGAAAAAATTTCAAACTGATAAAAATGAGAAGCCAAAACTAATACATAATATTTACAGTGATGTGCAGAGGGTGATTTGAAATAATACTAAAACACTTCACTTTTCTCCCCAATCCTTACAATGCAAACCACAGACAAATCAGAAAACCAAATCAAATTATTATTCTCAGTTTGTCTGCTCTTATTACAGAACATGCTTTAGAAATAAAGGAAAATATGCTTTCCAGTCAGAGACAGCTGAAATGCACATCTTTCTGCAGAAACTTCAAATATGGACCTTTAGAAAAATCCACATCTGCTCTATGGAAAACTGGTTTTCCAGTTCAGGTCTGCAATTAAAATTTGGTGAAGTATTTGAGACTGTTTAAATGAGATATATGTAGTCTAAGCATTTTTAATATTGCAAGATGCTGAGATATTGTATTTTGAAACTATTAATTTTTAAAATTAAGTGAGTCAATTCATAGAAGATCCACTTGCTCTCTGGACTTTAGCAGCTCCGATATATTTGCCTGGGTATTTGTATAGGTCTTAGGGACAAAATCATCCTTCAACTTATGCATTAATTTTGAATACTTGTGCAGTAATCCTGAATGCACATGCATGCAGAGCTTGTGGGCATTAAGATAAAAGGTAAACTGACTGCTGTAAGTACGTTGGAAATAAAATGTATTTGAAGGGTCTATGAATATTCCCTATGTTCAAAGGTTGCAACCATAGCAACATCCGCTTTTCATGAAAAGAAATTATCACATAGCCTGGAAACGTAAACCCAAAAACTGTTGTCACCTGTGACCTTGAATTTTTATTCTGTCCTCACAAAATGTTCATGTGCACATTCCTGTGTTGTAATAATGCTTTATGATTTCAGAGCAGTTGATAAAGATAGCAATAAATCATGGTACTCTTTGTTCTGCCAAAATCAGACAATTAAAAGACCAGTAGTCGCAGTACAGAAATCCACCATGGCATCAAAAATCATCCACAAGACCTACATATTTGTTTCCTTGAAAGATTATCTTTTTAAAAGGAACAGGCATTGAAGTTTTCATTCTGTATGGAAACATATAATAGAATTGTAGAATCACATTACATATTTAGTGGAATGTCAATAATCACATGCAACATGTCTTGACAAAATTTTATAAATAACTCTAGAAAGAAACCTAGCAATTTATACATGCACCACCACAAGACATCATTGTATAAATTGCTAGGTTTGTAACATGCCTGAGAACAAACTGAATATAGGAAAAAATAAAGTGGTATGGGTGCCATTTGTTGTCTTAATAAAATATTAATGAGAGTAAGCATTTCAAGTATGTCTAAGTCTAAAAGCATACTGACTTAGCTATTTGAAAAATTTAGATCTGCACCTTTTTAGTAGCAGCATGAACATGACATTATTCAAAATAAAGTATTTTTGTGTATCTGCTTAGCTACTACTGGTTTTCCTGAAACAAATTTTAAGTAATACTTATTTTGGTCCATAAAATGCAATTATCAGGAAGGAGCAGAATTTTTTATACCAAAACCAAAATCAGTAATTGAAAATAGAAAGTCTAATAGCATTCATTTTTAAGTTAGGAAGAATCATGTCCCTCAGAGTTCCAAGCTGCCATTCCATATCTATTACAGGGATGTAGCTGCCTTGCTGCTTTCAGAAGAGACAAAGGCACAGGCAAGGAGAGTCTACTTGCTGCAGCTTTTTTTTTTTCCCATTTCAGCCTGAGTTCCCTCTAGCACTTAAATTATGTCTCCACTTTGACTTTCCTGTCCTGTAACTTCTAATATGTCCTCATTCTGACTCCGCAACCATTAATTGTGAGAGACTTGAGATACTTAGTGGCAAATTGCACCAAAGACACTGGGGGAAGTCTGTTCCCTCATGGTGACCTGAATGAGACATAGAGACTGAGATGAGCTGCAGACAATGGTGGATGAGTCCTGGTAGGGCTGAGGCTATGAAAGACCATAAATAATTTAGTTGGGAAGAAGGTGAGCTGGTTAGGGAGGCTAAAGGAAATAAAGCTGCGACAATTATCTTCATAAGGAACACAAGAAATGTTTAAGATAACCTGTTATTTTCAGGTTCAAGCTTAAAGAGAGGATGATAAGCAGTTACAGAAGACACCAGTGAACAGAATACACTGCAGACAGGGTCAGACACGTAAGAATGAAAACCAAAATGATGGTGGGAACAGCAGTTTTTAAGAAACCCAAACAAAGAGCAACATATCTCCTTTTTCCTGAGAGGTAAGAAAAAAGGCTGAAAAATGCAGAACAGGCTGAAAAATGTAGAACAAGCACCTTTTCCCTGCAGCCTGTAGCTTTGTGTGTGTGTGTCCATATCTACTCCTGTGATCTGATTATAACACGCCCTCCCTGATGGTCAGTTTTGCAGAGAATACGCTGCTGTTATCCTTATCCACAACACCTTGAGCAGCACTCATGGGAGGCTGCTCTGCAGGAGGCAGAAATGCTGCAGAGATCTACCTGAGCACCCATCAGGGAAAATGGTCAAATTTGGAGGAACAGACTTTTTCTCTCCAAGGAGGCAAATGTGCTCACTAATGTTTTTGATGGCACCTGGGGATCTGCTTAAAATTGTTATGCCTGTCAAACTAATGTTTACCAGTTAAACAGGAGGCTATGCAGTGGCAGTTTACTTTGCATTCAAAGTGCTTTGGAGAAGGCACTGTGTCTTCACACACATCATAAGGAAGATTTGCCTTGTCAAAGTACAAATAGTAACCTGTAACCAGTAACCGATAGGTAAATAGTTATAAAAGTTGCTATCTATCACATCTAAAACTAAAACTTGCTATCTGATGTAAAACTGAAGTCAAAAGGCAGTAGTAAGCCATTCAACATATTCCTCCTCTGAATTAACTGGAGTTAATGACATAGAAAACCTGCAGAAGTAATACACTTCATTCTGTCAATGATTCTGTCTAGCTTGTGGTTGGGGTGTCATTTATAATTCATATAGAAACTATTAGTCTTGATTTACCATCTCTTGGTAAATATCAGCTTTTGAAACCTGTAAAAATCTGACCTGTGTAAACAAATACTCAAAACAACCTGCACAATGCATTAGATAAACATAACTTGCACTCATCTCAGTAACATTTTGAAAAAGTCATGAATCAGTGCTATTTCTGGAGCAGTAATTCTTATTTAGTAAGAAATCTTATCTCTGATTTTCAAACAGCTAGTCCAAACGTACTGGCTTATGAATAAAACAAAACAACAACCTTGAAATAAATGTGCTTATCTAGCAGAGATTAATGCAAAAACCCCAGAGATCCTTCTTGACTATTTATAAAGCAGTTTGCATTTAAGACTAAGATATTGCCATTCTCTTTGCTTGGCTGTCAGAAAATGCGTGAATGACATTTAAAGAATAGCATGCAAATGCATAAAGTGTGGGGAAAGAAACTCTTGAACAACTTTGGACCTAGCCTCTAGACAAAACACATATAAATCCTTAGTATACTGAAGGAATTATAGGAGTGGATGCTAAGGTAATGGACCAAGACTGCCCAGAAGGCTATGCTTCACTGAATTGGAAATTGAAATTTAAGCACATTTATCTTATTGGGACTGTAATATCCATTTATCTGACAAAAGAGTCATTTGTAGGATAGTCTTCAGAGATATATAATAACCTGGTATTATAAAACATTTGGAGCAGTTAAGTTATTCTAAAGTTCCACTGCTGAAAGGCTCCACATTGTGCAGGTGTAACCTCCTCCACCCAGACTGTTCTACATAGACAACTGCTAAGGAAAAAGAATAGGAAAAAAGTTCTGATGCTTGGCTGTATTATTCAGATTGCAACTTCTCTTTTTGCAGCCTCACCATCTACCCTAATCTTGAAGGAGGAACTAGCAAACAGTGCAGCCCCCAGGGCTTCTCTTAATGTCAGCTGTCTGCTCAGTACTGGGGAGGGAACTGATCAGTCTCTTTGGCATCCTTTATTCTGCACTGCTCTGCATCTGTATTCAGCAGGGAGCCTGGTCTGTGCTGCAACACCTTGGGCCCAAAAAATTCCATAGAGGTTCCCAACATAATCCACATATTTGTATATATTTGATAGGCTGGCAAGCCCCAATAAGCCATAATTCATAACCTCACCTTTAATACAACAATATTTTCTTCAGCACAAGCTGTGGAGATAAAACAGTGAATACAAGAAAGGAATTTGCTTTTGGGATTTGGGTTTTTTTAGAATGCAAGGCAGTGACTTTTTAAAACAGAACATGCATCCAGCAAAACATGGATTCAAACCATTCTCACATATTGTCACATAATTTTCACTGATGAGAATTTTTGTCTCTGATCTAGAAGACTGGATGTGGTGGATAATTGAGTGATAATCAACTGAGCTCCAAAACTACATACATCTTTAAGAAATGACATACCCACTTATTACTGTAGCCATATAAAGACCCAATTTACGAAAGATTTCCCAGTCCTCAACTTCTATTATCTTCCCAGCAATTAAAAACACGATACCAATAGGCATATACCTAGAAAGCAAAAATAAAACTATCAAAAATGAATTCTCAGAAATACTGCATGCTCACTATTAAATAATTTCTCTCCCAGAGTAATTTTTCTAAATAGATAAAAAATATGTTTTGATATCCTATTTCACAACAACAGATTTTTTTTCTTAAATTATATTATACATTGGACTTTATTCATTTGCAGCAAGGTTACAACAGAGGTGATGAAAAAAGACTGGAAAATAAAAGTAAATGTAACTCTACATGTAGTCTAGCTAGTATTGTATAACTTGGTGTCACAGAATACACAGAATTGGGAAGGGGTATGGGCATATACCCTATTACAGGAAATGTTCATCTACAGCCACAGGCTCCCTGGGGATGGAAGTTTGCAGGGTTGAGACCAGTGTCTGTCTAGTCTGTAATCACACTGATGGGAAACGTCTCCTGCAGTTACAGGAGCTGCCGTGCAGCACTGGGGGCTATATCTGTGTCACCTGCACAGAATAAAGTAAACCTGCACTAAGCCATGCCTAATGGATCTAAACAGCTGCATAGGCTACTGCCTGCAGAAAATTCAAGGGAAATATCAGGAATTATGTTAGCACTAGCTCCACTGCATTTTTTTTAGGTTTCAGAGCAGGCTGTCACAGAAACAAGTTATTACTTCAGAGCTTTGAGCAGTACAAACTAATCTAGAAATGTGTGAATATATAAAATGTATCCATTTAAAATTAGAAATTATACATTTATAAAATATGTGTGTGCTATCTCATAAACAAAATTGTATCTTACCCCTGTAGAAAGCGGGGATACCTAGTTCCTCTAAGCACTAAAGAACTTGAAAACAGTACTAATTCCTCACACTTTCAGCAGAAAGCTCTACCTTGTTTCAAAAAACAGCTCCCACATCTGTAGAAACTCAGGAAGCCTGTAGCCACAGCTTCTGGCACATGCAAGAAAATGGATAATCAATTTATAAGTAAATTCCTGTATAGCATGTGCCGAGTCTTGTTGTTGGTAATTTTCTGCAGAGTGAGGCAGCCTATCTCACAGGGCTTTAACTTAGCCTGGGACTAAACTAGCTGCTTGGCACTGGAGCAGTTGCAGAAATTAATTTACCTCTCTTTAAGGAAGCAAGAACTGTGCAAACCTTGGACAGATTTGCTGTTTTACAGACATCTCAGTGTGCTAGGATGTAAGAAAAACCCATGGAAGAGTCAGATCTGATGTGGTACTGGTATGAAACATGCACATAAGCAGAGTGTTGTAATAAGTGGTACAAAGCACTCTGCATATAGGATCAAACTCTAGAAGGAATTGTGTGTATTTGTAATTAATCCTGTAATTGTGATTTGCACAGACAAAATTCTAACAATAGCTGTGAAGTCCAACCAAACACTATTAGATAAGTTTCTGTATTTTAAATTTGTTTTTCTTGTCTGAGAATATTATGAGAATGTAGTCTCACAAAACCTATTACCAGGAGGTAAATGATACAAAGTTGTGTTTTGTATACCATTTTGAATTTTTCTTTGTGCTGTGGCTTGCATATTAATTTGGACTTCTAAAGGAGCTTAGATCCAATACAGCCATCCTGTGAAGATAATGTCTGTCAGGGAATAACGTTCAAGACCCAGAAGGGCATATGAGTAGTAATGCTTATCCTTAAAAGAGTCCTCAAATGACTAGTGCACTAATAAACATCTAGCAAGAATGTCTAAAAAACTCTGGTTTCTTGTGAATGAATAGGACTGCTCCTTTAGTATATATTAAGAAGCCCTGTCTCCAGTTTCCTCAAAAGGATCAAAATCTGTAGAAAGGAAATTTTTTACCAATCTTTCTTTGAAAGCTGCTTTCTGTAAAGCACTATGCAAAAGGAAACATTAGGTCTGAATCTGCTCTTACATCTTCAGTGACAAAATCCACTTAAAGAAGTTGTTGAGAAATGCCAGTATATCCTTGAACTTACCACATAATTATCTGAACTATTCTCATTGTAGCTTCATTCAGTGCATTGAAGAAATCCATCAGCACTTGTCCTTTCTCTCCCATTTTCCCAATAACCACTCCAAAAACAAGGCAAAAGACAATCAACCCCAGCGCATTGATGCCATTGGAATACATCCCCACAATTTTATATTCTTGGGTTTTGTTCTATAAATTGGAATGAAGAGAAAAAAATACTATCAGAAAATAATGAATTTACTTTAAAGAGTTCTAAAACAAAAACACATTTAGATTTTTTTGAAAGACATGAAGTTCTTTCCCAGCCACTCTATTGGCTTTCTGAAATTGCCAAGTGGGCAAGTTCAGGAATACACTAAACTGAACTTGAACACTTTGTATTTTAAAGCCACGCATGGATCTAACCAAACCTTAGCAGGGAGTAAAGCACCCCTTAATTTGTGTTGTCCTTTCTGCAGACTTCTGACATGAGGTATGGCAATGTCTAAGTATCCACAGTCACGCTTCCAAGATTTACTCCTCTACACTCAAGATTTACTCCCCACGGAAAGTGAAACACAGATGTAGAATCCTTGTATTTGTTTCTGAGCAACTCAACTTTGTATCTGGATCTAAGATAAATTCACCACTGCCTAACTACTGGGACATCAGTGTAATTGCATAATTTATAGGAGAATTGTGTGCACATAACATAAAAATCCTACTGAAGAGGTATTCATACATTCTTCTATGCAGCATGAACATATGAATGAAAGGGTGCAATTCTTCACTACTTTCTGTTTCAGGATTTAATTAAAGTCTCTTCATATAGCTCATCCTCCCATGCTATTATTACTTTGAGATGAAATTTGGAAGGAGTATAATAAAATATATATTGATTTGGTATTGTTTACACTTTTGTGTTCACATTCTATTGAATTCCTTTCTCCCTCTCCTCCAGGGTAAGTCTAGACTTTATATACCATTAACACCCATAACACCCATAAGCTTTCCACACCTCTAATGAAAGGCTTCTTGAATCTCTTTTTCACTTTTGTTTCTATATTCTTTTTTCAGAGTAAAAACCATTAATTAACAAATGCTTTATGTTGTTTTATTTTCCATTAAAAATATTTATTATTATTTTCAACTTTTAAAATTTTTTAATAACTTTATAACTTTCTTTTTTAGTGCTTACAATTACAGTCATTGCTACTCAAACCTCTCATGGTGATATACATCTAGTCTTTCCACGTGAGTGTTGAATTTCTCAAAAATTGATAATTCATAAGAAGATAAATGTAATCAATCTTCATCTATTTTCTTTGGACTGGTCAATTACTCATGGGATCCTCTGATGTTCTTAAACCTGCTGGAAGAACCTCTAAGCATTTACTAATTAACATCTATGCTCTTGCTGAAATCCATCTGTGTGCTATTTCCAATCATTTCTTCATCACTAACCACATGAACTAAACCAAATTTAGTCTATGTTCTTTCTTCCCACTTCATATATTATGAAGGAATAAAAAGATAAAAGGTCATACCTCTGAAGCCTTTGCTGTCATAGCCATTGTAGTGGGTTCCTCTCGAAACACGGAGCTATTTTTATCCACAGTAGTTGTAGTTTTAACTTTTTCACGTTTGGTTTTATACTGGAAAAAATATTTTTAAAAAATCCAGAAGAACTTATTTAGAAAAATGAGAAAACTGGAGAACAGACAAAGACCGAGTCAAAATAAGAGAAAAATTAACCAGCATAGACAAAGACTTTATTTCCCAATGCATGTGAGTTGTCAGGGCTCTGTACCTCAGAAGCTGTAGATCAAACAAGAGGTTCACAAGTAATATGCTATGAATTCTGCTCCCCAGGATCTTGGATACCCCATGGATGTGCTGCAGTCTTGCGGAGCATGAGCTAGAGCTCCTGAAAATGGCAAGAATTTTTGCTGGAACAAACAGTTTGCAGAGAATTGCTGACAGCCATGCCAAGAGAGGTCCTTGGTGGTGTGGTCAGCATAACTAATGCCACTATGCTAGGCAAACAGCTACTCTTAGTGGTCAAATGGGTTACATATTTCCCTTTCTCCTTGTTGCCAGGTCTTCAAGGTCCTGTGCACCAGGCAGACAAACTGAACAGACTTACTCTTCTGCTCCCTTCTAGCCTCCAGATTCCTGGCACTAGGCTGACTACTCCTCTCCTTATTTGTCTTTAATGTTCCAGGCACCCAGCCAGATGAGTAGTGTTGATGATGCAGTCACAAAATAGGCAAGTGTAACAGCAGCAAGTATACTGTCCATAAAACCAAGCAGGTCCAAGTCCTAGTGAGTAAGTTGGACCAAAACTGCTGCAGGACAGTGAGAGCTGATGGTCAGGGATGCCTCCATCATGGTCTGCTTCCTCTGAGGAACGAGTGACCAACCTGCATTCTTTTATATGTTTTTCAAGCCTAGATTATGGTTGTTATATTGATACAGCAAATGAAGTATTCAGATGTGACCAAATATGCAGTGGATCCAGGTGATTAGAAAACAAGTTAAATGGTGCTATATAAAACTGTTCTACACTGATTCTGCTCATAGAAATCCTGTGCTATTCTGATTGTAAGTTCTGTGCTATACAATTATAATCCATTAAGAAAACAAGACTTTAATAGTAACTACAGTTTAGTGCCGTCATCATTCTGTCAAGGATTTCTGAAAGAGCCTGCCTGTACGCTTAGTGTGGGGTGGCCAGTAATGATGACAAAAACTGCATGGAGAAGTTTTATAAAGCGAGTTGTACACAGCAGCATATCTGATATAAATTTCTGGGGAGGGTTAAGTTAACCCTCTTTTTTCTTGCAACACTCACTTGTCCTGAAAGATATCTCAAATAGACAACTAGTTATCATCCTTTTTCTTCAAAGGATTTGGTCTGGCAGTGGATATTAGATGTGAGACACTTCAGAGTGAGGGC